GAAATATAATTTTTCACTCATCAAATTCCATCTTCCTTCCTTCCACATCTCATCCCAATTCTTCCCCACCTCTTCAAACCCAAGAAACGTCCTTTTCTTCTCCTCCTCCAAGCTCTCGTCGAAAGCTTCTGTACGCAATCCCGAGCGCTGACAACCCGAAGGTGACGAAAACCGTAATGAACTTTACCCATTTGGGCACCTCCCACAGAAGCTCCACCACCACATCTAAAAACTTCAATAAGACGAAGCCAATCTCTTAAAGGATAACTTTTATTCTTTAGATTTTTATTGAGCTTAATCTTACATATAAGTTTTATCAATAGCCCAGATAGTTGTTTCAACATCATAAAGATAATAATTGTCAAATAAGATGTCTAGACTTGTGTTGATTTTTTTTTTATTATTATTATATTCATAGATAACGTGCTTCTGGGTCCTAATAAAAGACGATTTGATTGGGGAAAACAGCACATAGAGAGACATTCTTATCGTATGAACTTGGTAATTAAGGAATAAATAAGAAGAAAAACTATTGTGCTTATAAACAACTTCTCTCTACTACTCGCATTCAGAAAATACGTAAACGTACAATATTAATTTACTTGAATCTTACGACTCGGTCTGTTGCGCTTCTTTCTTTTGTTGATACTTGTGTGTTCGAGGAAAGAGTAAGTCGTTTAGTTGCCTCTCAGCACTATATTCCGATAATGCCTGCAAAGGTGCATACAAGAAGAGAGAAATATACAGTCATCAGAAAATCAAACATGGCAAAAGTTAATCATCGTTCAGTTCACCAGAACAATTGCACAGACACACGTAAGCAAGAATCTTACCTTCTTCTTGAAGCCAAAACGTAATGTCTGAACTTGTGTTCCAGAGCAAACTCGCAAGTCGAAACCAAGGCTGTCTAATCCGATAAGAGCACACTCCTGTCATAATTTCAACTCGGGATAGTTAGGGTGTGTTTGTTATAAATTATTTCAACTCATACTCAATTCTACTCAAAATGTAACTCGACTTTAACTCAATCTCACTATATTCAATATTATCAATATAATTAAATAATACCAACCAATCATATTAGATCAACTTTAATCCACTATTCATCCACTCACATGATTTTAATTAAACATCACTTCACATCATCTCTCTCTTACTTTTACATCAAATCAACTTTAATTATTTTATTTTCAATATTATTTTAATATAAAATGTGTTTCTCTTACTATTGGTTCTCTTGGGTTCCATCTCTAGCCTACCCCAACTTGCTTGGGACTAAAAGGCTATGTCGTTGTTGTTGTATTTTAATATAAAATCAAAATCTCACTAACAACTAACCATACCAACTTTTTCAAAATTAATTCTAGTTAACCAAAAAAACTCGTTTTGAGCGGATATATTTGTATCCAAGCACGCCCTTAGCATCAAATACGGAACAATCGTAATATGTTAAAATTCAATGAATCATCCTCGTTTCATGGTTACATAATCCTAAGGTAGACAACATCACGAATTGTTGAATGATTTGTGAAAAGAAAATCACACACCACAACATATCAACTAATGCATATTGAAAAATTAGGTACACGATTTGGGAAGGAAAATGCAACTCTTGCGGAAATCAATGTATCAATGTCTATGAAGAATTTCTTAGACAATAGTAATTGGTGTATTTTTGGTTTACAGTGCAAGCAAATCTTACCTCCACTTGAATACCCTTGGATCTCCAACACAGAGATTTCAGAGCTTGCGTGATCTTATCTCCACCAGCTTTGAGGCGGGATATGATTTTCGCAGCTGAATGTGCTATGGCATCAGGTTTAGCCCTCCCAAAATCTTCTATTTCAACGTAACTCTGCACCAATAACACAATAATCATACTACACTTTCCAACTTATTAGCTGATAGTATATAATAATTTTCCGCATCTGATTACAAATCACTCACAATGTTCATATTGTCCATTCTTGTTTTATCTAAATTGTATTAAAAAACAAGCTTACATAAGCCAGGTCATCATAGCATGATGGATACTATATAGCGTGCAGAGTCTCACCAAATTATATATTATGACGAAAAGCAGGTTGATTGAATTGAAAGGTTACAGATAATATTGAGGTTGATGTAAGGAATAAAGCTATTTTAAATTAAGGCTTTACCTGATCTCCTTGAGCTGAAATTAGATGAATCTTAATCATCTCTAGCTTGTAAAATGCAAATCCATTTCCCAGAGTTTCATCTTTCTCAAGGTCTCCATCCAAACTTGGGTTATCCCTTGTTAATTCTCCTTCATGTCCGTGCCCATTTATATGTACGGTCTCATTGACCATTTGATTTGTATCCTCATCACCAGATTCAGGATCAGATATCTGCCTTTGAATAACATAATTTTCTTCAATGAATGTGGGCCTTAGAAGGCCATGGACAGCAAGGCCAGTAGTTGGCTGTTCCATACAATCTACAGGATTATACGAGACAACCTGCAAATGGAAAAAGGACAGTTGTTAGAACCATGAGATACTAAGCATATATATGCCAAATTGCAGGCCATATTCAGGTTGTTTCTAAAAGGCAACAAGCCTTTCTTCGTAGGAAGATCAGAGAGTGAACGATCTCTTATTTTCATTGCAACACTTAATCTCCCAGAAAAATCTAAAAATTCTATTCTCCCGCCACCTTATTGTGCTCAATGACCTGTAAGCTGTAAGGTAATACCAAATGTCCCCATCCGTTATTTAGCATTTTAATTAACCGAAATTCCGCTTAAAACACAACTTGAAGTGTGAAAATGAAAAACAGTATAAAAATAGAACTGTGTCATCACTCTTTGTGATTCAACTTTGCGCAATTTACTTCAGCAGTTAGAATTTTAAACAAGATTGTCTTACAAACATATTACACATTTTAATTTTTCATTTGATTTTAGAACTTAATGTATATTGTTACCTCAGCTAGCTTTTTGGCAAAATACATAGGATGAGAAGAACGCATGGTCTCCAATTTAGCCCAGTCTCCCAATGAATCATCACTCTCCTCATCCTCATCAAGGATGGCTACCCAATCCTGCATGGGAACATGAATTAGGTTTACAACCATTAAAGTCACAATTTCTGATAGCAAGACGAAAGAATATAGTTGAGTTTGTCCCTACTGTGTCATTTTCATCTTCACCACTTTCATCTTCATCCTTTTCCTCATCATCATCATCCTCATCAGCATCAAATCCACTATCATCCAGCTCATCTATGCCAAAGTCGATTTCTGCATGACTCAGTGCCCCCGTCTCACTAATCATTTCTGCAGTATCAAGTCCAATGATGACTTGCTGCACATATTGAAAATTCAAGTAAGTCTCATGAACAAACTTTTTGATTCAGTAGAATGTTACAACTTATATGGCAATACAACATTTGAAACATGCACATAGTGAATATATCAACTGATGTCTTTTGGTAATTCTCAATTTTGCATAGTTTTCTCCAATTTTCTGATGTACAAATATAGAGTTCATGGTTCACATTATTCAACTTATTTAAATGTGGATCAGATACGAATGGCTTATGATACATGGAAAGCATAGAGGTTCCAAAAGAACCAAGACAGTTTATCTTATAGCATCACTCAAACGCAAACATGCACACTAAGAGAAAACAAAAGGAGGACTACATATTTCAAAAAAATAATTAGACTACTCATGATAAGTGTACATTACAACTGTTCTTACCACAACGGCTTCCTCGGATGTAAGGGTTTGCAAGATATCTTCATCAGTCTTCACTCGAACGTAAATATCTGACGATAAGGGGATGGAACTTAATAATGACGAAAGAACTATATCAAACAAGAACACAAGAAAAATGTATCTTACTTCCATGTTCATCGGTCACATAAGGTAAGTCCGCCCAGAATATGTCATCACGAAATTCTTCATCGATCAGACCAGAAAACATCAGTGTGGCCTTGCTATTCACCTAAAAGAAAGAAGAAGCCTTCATGCAAAATAATATCAAAAATTATTTTGTGACTGGATATCATTTAGCGTGAACAGAACCAATCATTACACATCTTTTTGTAATAAGAACACTCATTTCACTTTCTCTTCTTTTCTCTCCTCAATTTTCTTGGTACAATTTTCGTAATATAAATCAATTGTTACACATTTTTCTATATAATTTACTATCCATTCATTCACATATTTATAACTACCAATCATTATTTCAATATTTCTCTTTCACATCACAAGTAACATTTACTATTTGTATCACATTATAACATCATTTAACAGGCAACAAGCTCATCAATCTCAGCTGCTGCTACTACCCACACATTGAATCTGGATAATTATACCTCGATTATCGTTCTAGAAGTCTCGGCACGCGTGAGTTTAGCTTCCCCATTCTTCAAAAACCGTGGCTCCGCAATTTCTTCCAACGGATGATACCATTGCGGCTTTGCATTCGGCTTTACCGAAGCCGGCTCCGGACCAAAAGCTCTAATTCCATTTGCACTCTTCAACCTACCGGCGCACCTCCTGTAAATCCTATTTCGCAAATTCACACACACAAATTCAACAAAAACGACATTAGCCATAAACACTGCATTTCCACACTGCAATTTGCAGGGCTAAACCTAATTTCCACACAAACAGAGTGGTGTATATTGGAAACGAAAATACCGCGGGATGAAAAGGGCGGATGAGTGTGAGAGGAAACTAGTAGATGAGCGGATGCTGGCGACGGGGAAGAGGGCGGCGGCGGCGGCGGAGGCGGAGTGAGCTTCCATCATCAGCATTCTCTCACGCAGCTCAGATCGATTGACCTATGGAGGGAATAAATTAAAGCTGTGGATTTCTCAGCTCATAATGTGGAGGGAGGAGAATGAGATAATAATATGCTCAGCGATTCTATCCGTTGTCCACAGTCCACTCTTCTTGCTCCGTGAATTGGGATTAGTTGAAATCGCATTTTGGAGCGCTTTCATTTGGATAGCTTTAATAATAGAAGATAAAATATAAACTGTCTCCTCCGAAAAATTAAGATGAAAATTATTTTTTTTTCTTCTAAAAGTTGAAATAGATTGGAGAGCTTTAATAATATACACTAATTTTTCAAAAAAGAAAAAAATGTCTCCGAAAATTAAGATGAAAAATATAATTTTTCTTCTAAAGTTGAAATAGATTAGAGGTTGTGTATGAATATAAGAAAAATATAATGATTAAAGTTTATATGAGATCAAATAAAGATAACCTTATAATATATAGTTAGAAATATTGTGATTAATATTTTGTTTTTCTGAAAAATATATTATAATAATTACTTTTAATTTAAAATTGTAATTAGTGAAACTGTAAGAATAAATAAGATTAATTAATAATATCTTTTGTAGTTTTTTATTTCAATTTTAGTTTTTTTTTTTTCAAACAACAATTACTATTAAATTAAACTCATAAAAGTACAATCAGTTCACCAACTAACTACAGTAAACATTTTAACTATCAAGTGACGGAATAAAATGAATCAGTTTTTTAGCATAAGAGTTCTCACTACCAACAAAAGGAGCCGACTCCTTAAGACGACCACTCGAAAGGGAAAACAGACCATAGAAGCAATAAACAAATATCTGAAACTCCAACACACTAGACAATTATCGACTATACAGATATGAGGCTTACGAACCAAATCCACCCTTCCTATCGAGTTACAATCACGCGTCATAAGGCTTTTGAGTTCTAAGCCCAAAACTAGAGTAAGGAGATTGGGGTGGCTGTAAGGCCCAAGATATGTTGCCATTAATGGGCAATCTAGCCACTACCTAAAGCATTTAAATGAAAATTTTAAAAAATATCCAAAACTTGAGATATGGAAAAACTCTTCACCATTACGCAATCTAGCTCTTTTATTTATCAATTTAAAAATATAATTGTTAAACGAAACGACAAGCTCGTGAGATCGGTTCAATTCGGCTCGTTAAAACTCGAGTTGACTCGACTCCTTTGATAAACGAATCGAGTTGGAGCTCGCTTAAAGTTCATTTCGTTAACAAGTCGGGCTCAACTCGATTCAATTAGGCTTGTTAAAAATCGAAAACACAATTTTTATGTAATTTTATATAATTCAACAAGTTAAAGCTCGAGATCGGCTCATTAAGGCTCGAATTCGATTCGTTAACACTGATAATCGAGCCGAGCTTGAACTCGATTTCTGGCTTGTTTACTCATTCGGCTCGACTCATTTACAACCCTAATTAAAGTTAATAAAATTGCGATGCATTGAATTGAAGAACTTGGCCTTTTCTTTTCCCTATAATATTCGAATAAAGCAAGAGTATAATTAAATAAAATCTATGAATTTGTTTTATAGGCGGCCCCGTTATGATAGGGCTAACATATATGAATTAGGGGACACAACTAAGGCAAAGTGACAAACTCGAAATCAATGGTTTCTTTACTGTCGAGGGCTTTTGCCTATTGTTTCCTATTTTTATCGTCCTCAACTCCTCATACATATAGTATCATTCAGTTAATTTAGTTCCTCAAAAATTGTTTCTGTTTCCTATGGTCTGTAATTATGATTTTTTGTTCATGATCATTAACAAACGTGTTTAGCATAGTAATTAACACAAGGTAAAATTATTATTCAACATTGTAAATAGTTTTATATTATAACTTTATCATATGGCTTCACGTGTACACCACAACCACATGCATGAAAGTGATTTAGATTGATATATCCTATGGCGTGATTAGAATTTGAGATTAGGACTAACCAAGTTAATTTTGTCGGTAATATATGCTTAAAATTCATGACGAGTACCTTGTAATAATTAGCATATAGCATCATTGATTAAATTACATAAGCCAAAAGTATGTTTAATTAATTAGTATTAATCTAACTATGAATTTAATTCGAATTTATAGTTAATAACTGAAAAATTAGATGATATCTTAAAATTGTGTAATAAAATAAATTGATAGGTCAACTGAAATTAAAATTTTAAGGGTAACTTACAATTTAAAAAAAAAAAAATCATTCACCAAAACAAACTTCTTTAAAAACAAAAAAATTATAAATTATTAAATTAATTATAAACTAGCCTATGATGCTCAACCAAATAAACTAAGTATGAGATCAGCAATAATTGGGATAATTATAATAAACAAAAATCAATTGGTTAATGTGTTATATGGAAGCCAAAACACCAACCATAAAAAAATGTAAATAGAAACCAAAAGAAAATCTAAAGCAACATCGGCCTGTGCGATTCATTATAACAAAACACCAACCTAGATTTTCTCTTCTATAATATATTAATTATAACAAAACATAATATATTAATGAAAAAAATATTTTATAAAATCATAATTTGATTTGAACCTTTCGTAAGAGCTAATCTTGAAAATGTGGTGTTGTGCCCATGGTTTAACCAACATGCTTTCTTGTATTTAAGGGACAAAGAGGAAGATGACGTCCTAAATATAATGATGAAGGCTCTAAAAGTACAAGGTCCTTGGAGGGTTTTTGGTTAAAAAAGTGAAACATATGGATAGGGACAATTTAATTAGATGCAATTAATTGAGTTGTAATTAAGAGTTAGTTAGCAATTTATCTAGAATCAATGTTAAAAAAGTGAAACATATGGATAGGGACAATTTAATTAGATGCAATTGAGTTAATTAAGAGCTAGTTAGCAATATATCTACAATCAATGTTCTAAATAGTAATTGTCATACTTAGATGAACTTCTCTAATTATAGTACCCAAGTAATTTTCATCTATGACATAGATGGATTTGTGCTATTTATGTTAAACGTAAAAAATTGCTCGTGGAATTGATTTGACTCGTTAAGATTCGTTTGACTTGACTTAATTAGTTAAAGAGTCGTGCCTGTCGTTAGGATTAAAAGAATAAGAATTTTGTGTATTTTTTTGAAATACTTTTAGAGACGTGAAAGATAGAGATGAGAAGGTTCCTACTTCCTAGTAGAGTTGTTCCATCAAGCAACATATGTAATCAGTTTTCTTGTATCAATTTAATACACATTTTACTTTGATTATGCCCTATTAATTGTCTTGCTAAGTGATAATTAGCCAAGTGGGTCTGGTGTATTAATTACCACTTTGATTTTTATTAGGATGCAGATATTATGTCTAGTTGTGTTGGAAAGAAATTAATGCTTCTTGTTGTAGGATTGAAGCTAACAAAGATAAATTAATTATACAGATGAAAGAAATAAATCATTGATTGGCTGATAATCTTTGCCTGATTACTCAAAACTAAATGGAGATAAACCCAAAAATTCAAATATTTATTTGAACACATACTATATGGAAATATTTTTGCTTCATGACTAAAACCGCTGGATAACTTTTATATGTTGCTTGATAATATTATTGTAACAAACGAATAAATTTTCAATCCAAAAAATGGTCCCGTTAAGGTGTTCAAATTTCAGTTAGACTGCCGAATAAAAAAATATGGCTTAATTTATTTAATGCCTTATTATTACATTTTATTTTGGTTGAATCTCAGTTTTATTTTGAAAGTATACCAATTAATTGAAAAGGAAAAAATTATATAAATGATGTTGTTAGCATTTCCCTTTATTTATTATCTACAAAACATATATTATGAAATATTAAATATAAAAGTATGAAAAAACAAAGATAACTATTTTTATTATAATTAATTATAACGTATTTTGGTTAATATTTCGAAAAATGATAGAATTCAAATTATTTGGTTTTATGGGTTAATCGAATCACTCCTAATCTCACATTCTAATATACATCACGAAAAATTAAAGAGTAATAATTTCATCATATGCATTAAAGTAAAAAAATATACTACAACTAATCACATGTTGTGTGTGCACTAGTTAGTAGAAAGTGTTAAATTGTGCAAATTTTTACCTCCCTTTACCGTCTTTTGACCTTTACTTCTTTTCCCCTTTTGTTTGCCACGTTGTTTCTTAACTTTATTATTTTTGTTTTAATAAAGCGCTTTTCTTTTCTTCTCTTTTAATTTTTTTCTTTTTCCAAAGGTGAAATAAATAAAAATCACTTTTCTTTTTTGGGTTATGGAAAAAGATTAGCGAATCACGACCGTTGAATGTAAATAGGTCAAACCTTTAAAATTAGCGAGTCGGAGCCTAATATCTGACCCGCTCAAAAAGGGACCAAAGGCGTGCCCATCTGCAGGACCCGAGCCCCGATGCCTCTGACCCGTCAGAATTTATTATATAAAAGAAATAATAATAACCCAAAAAGTAAAAGATGAAAGCTCAACCTCATAAAAATAGAACAAAGACTTCACAAAATTACTACTTTTCTATTGGATTTATTTTGACAAAAAACAAAAAAGTAAAAAATAAATAAAAATTGAGTGTTAGTGTAATACTTAAATATGTTGATCCCTCCCTTTTTTATTAGAAAATTCATACTTATATTAGAAATTATATTTTTATTTATATTATTTTTTATGATATAAGATTTCAGCTTGAATAATGTTCAAAAAATATAAATGCATGCAATCTCACTGTTTTTAATATTATTTTTCATTTATTTTCTGATTTTTTCTTTTTTATATTTAATTCAATTTCTTTTTGCAAGCTGTGGTCTACCAAGATTATTCCTTTTTGGCATGGTCAGCTTACTTCTACTGTTCCATCATTTTCCAAGGAAAAAAAGAGCTGTACATTTTATTTTATATAAAAAAAAAACATTTTAGGATCTGATTTTGACTAACAAACACAAAAATGGATTTGATTTCACTTTAGCAACAAGAGAAAAAATGTTGTAAACGATACAATCATTACTGTATTTCAATGAAATTTAAATGTGTAATTGACAATAAAAGTTGTTCCAAATGATATCCCAAATTCTTGGGGAAGCATTGAAAATTTGGACCAACTGACAGTATTTATTATACTATATAAACTATTATTAGGGCCGTTAACGATTCAAGTCGAGTTGGAGGCTCGAGCTGATTTGTGTCGTCAAACGAATTGAATTATGTTAAAAGTTTTTGAAATTGCATAAAAACCTTTAATTTTTAAACATGATAAGACGTGCTTGATTTTGGCTTGTTGACAGTCTAGAAATGAATTATGTTAAAAGTTTAGAAAATTTTGTAAAAACCTTAAATTTCAAACTTAATGATCAGACCAAGCTAGTTAACTGCTACAAGTAAGAAGTATAATTTATTTTAACAATTTATATTTAAGTAAAATTTATTGAACAACAATCAAATTTTCCTTCGTGCAGAGTTCAGTAAAATTCCTTCCTCACAGGTCTTTTTCGAGAATAATTTTTTTGTTCAAAAAACTTTTTGGTTCGATTATGTAACTAAAAAAAACAAGCTTGTGAGAAAGGCCAAGGCCCAGATGGGCCCATCTACCTAACAGTCTTGATTCCAAAAGCCCGATGAGCTTCCTCACTCAGCCTCAGGCTCAGTCTATATATATAATCTGCCACTCTGAATATTTACATGTGCCCCTGAGCTTAACACAGTGTTTGGCAGTTGTCACCACTTTTCTCCTATTCCCATTTTTTCACTGTACCTATTTGTCTCATTTGGCAGCTATTTTCCACCTCTATCCAAACGCTGCCTTAACCCATTCTCTATATTAGCTTTCCCCCATTTTCTGGTCTCTCTCACCAAAAATCCACAATCTCTCTCTCTCTCTCTATCTGTTATCAAAATCCTCTGTTCTCTCTCTCTCTCTCCAATGGAAGCTCTTGGATTCCTCAGGTTCTGGAAAAACGCCGGCGTCGGCACCGGCGCTGACGTCGGTCTCTGTGCGGATGACGTACACAATCCTTCGTTCAGCTCCGATGGAGAAGAAACCGACGACAACGATTCGTTCTTCGATCTGGTCATCAAATCGCCCGATCGAGCTGCCGCCGAGACCCGCGGCGGCGATTCGAAGGACTATTCGAGCTCCAAGCCTCAATCGCCGGTCAGCATCCTACGGTCGGGCCCCAAATTCAAGGTGTTCATGCTTGGATTCAGAAAATCGCCGTGCCGCGAGAAGACGTCGAAGCCGAGCGCGGCGAATCAGCTCTCGAGATCGTCGAAGCTCGACCGTATCGCAGCGAAAAACGGGGCGGAGGGGACGCCGGCGGACGGCGGTCCGATTTTCGCCAGGGACAGCAGCCTGAGGACCAAAATGCTGAAGGACGGCTGCGAGTACGGTGCTTCCCCCGACGTACCCGCCGCCGTGGAGAAATCGGCGCCCAAATACATGAAGCTGATGAAGCCTTTCTACGTCAGGGCGTCGAGGAACGCGAGGTCGTCGGATTCGTCGACGCCGTCGTCTTCTCCGGCGGCGAATCTGTCTTCCAGGAAATTCTGTGAGGTGCGTAGGGTGGGGAGCTTCAAGATCATGTCGAGGAGTTTGGTGAAGAGCCGGTCGGCGTCGGCGACGGACGGACCGGCGCTGCCGCCGATGCGCCGGAGGGACGATTCACTGCTGGAGCAGTCCGATGGAATCCAAGGCGCCATTCTTCACTGCAAAAATTCCTTTAATAATCCCTCATATCGAGGTATTTATTAATTTTTTATTTTTACTTTTGCTTAATGTATAAAATTTGTATTTTACTTTTTTACTTTTGTTGTTGTATAATGACAAATTAATAATTATTCATATCTATGCTTAAATTTCAGAAATCTCGCAATTGCCTCGGGCCGCAAGCGATAACTCGTACGAGAAATTGAGGAGAAATACGTTTGAGGAGCAAAAACGGTGCAGCATTTGAATCGGAAAATAAATGGCGGGAATGTCCGTAACGCTGAGGAGAGCATGACGTCGTATTTTCAGGGCTATGAAATGATGACAATTAATTACTTCAAGATTTTGTACAAGTAGGATCAGTCTAATGTCAAATGAGTAGAGTAGTAGAGTAAGGTAGGACTTTTTTCTTTTCATTATTTTTTTTGTTTTCTCTCTGTAAAAAGTAACTGCTGGGTTTGAAAGTAGTGTGGTCTGTGCGAAAAAAAAAAGAAATTAAAAGTTGAAAAAATGAAAAAAGATTGAGGGAAATGATTATGAATCTTCCCGTGTGACTGCATTTTCAGATGGTGCTTAACGCTTTGTAGCAGTATATATGAGTTGTATTTGTGTATGAATATATGAATTTTGGATTAATTGTTGTCAACTTCAAATCAAAGTCATGATGATTTCCTATTTCCTATTGTGTATTCCAGATTTCTAATGACTGCATTGCAATGAACGCAAAAAGCAATAACTCTTTGATAAATAGATGTATAATACGTTTAACTAAACTTTGACACTACACTGTAGAAGATTTTTTTCACCAAACTTCAGTTAGAATGAAGGATAAATGTATATATTAGAGCATAATGTGGGATATAATCGGGTAAAAATTCGGGCTACATGCATAATTTTACAACACCACTACATTACTTTCCAAGAAATAGAACTCCATATTATGAACATATGTTGATATATAGGGTGATCACGGTCCGAATTGGTCCGGTTTTAGTCCAAACCGGACTTAACGGTTAATTTTTTTTATTGTCCATAACTGGACCGAATTTACTTTTTAACCGGCCACAATTCGGACCGCATTGGACGGTCCGGTTTGGCGGTTAACCGGTTAAATCCAGAATCCTTGTTTTGGGCCTTCAATTTTCATTTTTTTCATTTTGGGCTTAATTTTTATTTTTTAATTTTTGGCCCAAAAGAGATTATTTGGGTTTAAAAATTAAGAAAAACAACAATAATGAAATAAAAATACACAATTCGTGTCATAAGTATAAAAATACACATTTCATCCCATAAACATAAAAATACAAAAATAATGAAGATTAAATTATGCAAAGAGAAGGTGGGAAAATCTGAAAATGAAAAAACGAATGTGGAAAAAAGTGAAAAGTTATAGTGTCTTACAAAATTAAGTCTACAAAAGGCCGAAAAGTGAAAGTGAATGTATTGTATTTGTCGGTCATAGTGAATGACTGAATGTATATATATTTTTGTTATAATTTTTTAATATTTACTGGTCTGATTCGGTTAAACCGGCGGTTCACCGCATGTAATCCGTTAACTGGACCGGTTATTCATGATTTTTAAAAAAATGAACCACCGGATTATTTCGGTTAAAACCAGACCGTGAACATTCCTATTGATATATACTTAAAAAAAAACAAGTTTTACTTAAAACTATGCCAAACATGAAACATCATTTGCTAATCTAGTATTTATTCAATTGTTTCATAAATCCCATATAAAACAACTAATAATACTATGTTGAAATGTGAATGTTTGAACTCATGTTTAAGGTGGTTTTGTTATGAAGTTAAGTTAGCCAACAGTTGGCTCCATAGTGGAGCCAATCTTCTATATATAACAAGTAATTAAACCATATCATTTTAATAAAATTATAGTATTTTTTTAAGTAATATGAAAATATTGTATAATTTACTTGTTGTATATAGAAGGTTGGCTGCACTATGGAATCAATTGTTGACTTTATAGCAAAAACGTGTTCAAGGTTGGTAATAATCCAATCTTAATTTGCGTCGCCGTGGTCCGTCTATTCCGTCCAAAAGCCTTGATTTATGTCTAATCACAACTTATAAGCATGGATTATTAGGCTTAGTCAATCGTGATTGGAGAACCAAATTGAAGTGACTATCAGTAAAATTGTATATAATTTAAGTGGGGTATGAACCAAACGCGTTGCCAATTTACAAAAAACGGGCCAATTACGTTATCGTTGAGTCGCAAATACACATTATTGTCACTCTATAGTCAATGACGGAGCTAGAAGGGGGCCACGGCCCCCCTGAAATTTTTAAAAGAATCAATATATATATATAAATAAAAAACTATATAATATGTGTAAAATACAAAAACAATTACAATATATTAATAGATAAAACTAATTAAAAAATCAATATACATATAAAGAAAATACTAGATAATATGTATAGAAATGTAAAAAATATTTATAATATATTACTAATTAAAACTTATTTCTTCTGCTATTTTTATTTAAATTAATAATATTATTTATTTAGTGAAAATATACTAACAATCTTTATATTTTAAATTTTTAGATAAGCTTTTGAAAATATTTATAATGATGTACTCTTTCGGTCTCTTAATTGTAAATCATTTTAGTGTCTTATAAAATTGAGTACTTGTTAGTTGGATTGTTACATTGTTTGATGTTGACTCTTTACTTTTTTTTTGTGTGTAATCAAATATTTTTTTACTTTATTTATTTTTTTTAAAAAAAATGTTCATTTGATAAACTTTCATAAAAAAAATGCTATGCAATGTTGTGCAAAAGTTTAATTTAAACGAATTTGCAACCAAAAAACTTATTTTTCATAAATTATAGATGTTGAACTTAAATTATAAATACATGAAATCTCTCTTTAAAAAAAAAATAGAATAATTTTGAGGATGATACGGATTATAAAGTTTTTAAAAACTTGATGGTACACGTATAAATATTTATATTCATAGTAAATACAATTTATATGAAATGAGTGTTTCAACTTAAACCACAAGCTTGTTATTTAACATTTAAAATCAGGCTCTCCTCAGCAAAATTTCTGGTTCCGTCACTATCTATAGTCTACTTACAAAAGACAACTTAAAAAAAAAAAACACTTTCGTTGTTGAGACCATAATGTTAGAAATATTTTTTGGACAACATATGTTAATTAATGTGTATAATCGTCATAATATAATTCAATTAATGTGATCTAAATTTAGGATTTTGAATAAAGAGAGTATCAAATTGTTATGGATTTTAAAGTGTAAATACCATTTTGTGATTTTTCTGTTTGTTGAGGAACCGAATTGAAAATCAATAAATTTTATCTATTTGGTTATGACCCCCAACTACGAAAAGGTACGAGCAGATTTTCGAAAAGATGTTTTTTCCCTTTAAAAGCACAATCATCATTGCCAAAGGGTTGTATGAAAAATATATGAAAAACATACATATAGAAAATATACTCTATAGTATACTACAATATCTGCTATAAGGTTTCGATCGTTTAGAAGATCATACCAGTCCAACAATATCGTTTGAAAGAACACATCAATCTAGCAAACTGAAGAAAAACAGATGAATTTTCAATTCATGAAGCCTGATACACTTAAAAAAACTGGTACGCTTGCACTATTACTTGTTGATTCTTTATTATTTGACATGAATGAAGATTAGGATTGGATTATTTTCGTTTTTGGGTTAAACATTGAGGTGTGGAGCCCGTTTCTGGAAATTGTTAGCTATTTCCAAATCAATCTTATATAAAACTTGAGAAACCGAGTTTAAATGTAAATTTTTGTGCTTCGTGATTTTATATTATGATTCGGGTATATCAATATTCATGTGTGTCAAACTATTATATGAGATAGTTAAGAGATATAATAATATTTATTAATATCATTTTATATAAAAAATATTAAATTTATTTTTTAAAATATCTAAATGATTAAATAAAAATACTTCCGTTTTCTTAATTTTTAAAATATAAATTTACACCAACACTCGCATAATACATTAGTAGTGTTTTACTATTAGTACTATTAAAATTGAACCATAAGTTATATTATCCATATTCCAATGTTGTTTAACAACTAGTATTTGATCATGTGCATTTGCACAGATATAAAACACGTTTTCTGTTTGTATTTATTAATTAGACATGTACTTATATCATATAAAACTTATTACTCTTTCTTAAGTTATTTTTATTTTTTAAAATTAATTGAGATTAAAATTTTATTTTAACCATGCAACGTTTACATAAGTAACATGAATTAAATAATTTATATATTTGTGGCATATATTAAGAAAATTAACATAAATAAAAACATTATTGGTGTTTCTGACTTTTAGAAAAAAAAAATATGTGCTAATCATATTGTTTTCCAACAATGCAACCAAATATAACGGTTACAGCTCTGAATGTGTCAATCAACTTTATGTTCCAACATTAGCCGTTACACATTTGAATATTTTGCTACTAAGTTTAGAATTAATTTAGTAACTAATCCAAAAAATAAATAAATAATAAATAAATATATATATATATAAAGGTGTAACGCTTTTAGCAGATTAGTGAGTAATTAATTTAAAAAAATGTAACTCCGTTTGGAGGGAAATGAAAATAGGTTTTATTAAATATTTTATTAAATGCATCAGCTAGTAATTATATATATATTGTTGGTATATGTGTCCTAGAGACAATCTTTTTGAAGACATATATACATGATCACATTAATAATTATATTAGATTATAATTATGGTATTGTAATTAATTAAATAATTGTTTGATTGTTTGCAACTTATTAATTATTTGCTCCCTTGAGTTAATACTGTCATTAATAGAGTGAGATGTTAATTGATAAAGTATAACTCTCAAATAGCCCCAATCGATGATCATTAAGAAAAGGAATATTAATGATACGCAATAGATTGACATGTGGCCTGCATCACATTCTTAGAGAATGTAGTATGTCTCACTGCTATGAATAATTGTTATTCGTGATGGATACTTTGGAGAGTATTGACATACCCTAATGATAAACCATTTGTTTATGTGTCTATTGGGGTATCGGTGTGTGGAATTGTGTAATAGTCCTTTGACTTGAGGTCAATACGCAATTCATGTATAGAGTGATTTACTTAGACCTAGTCCTTACGCCCTTATGGGTATATACAGGCTTGTGTCGGGTCAGTCACGATATATATGGATATGGTAGTTGAGCCAAGATAGGATTCATTCCTCGAATATAGTTTCGAGAGAACAATCGTTTTCTCTATATTGGATTGATAAAGTCATTGATTAATGCACATGATTATATTTGTAATGGTGTTCAAATATAATTAATTAAAATCAACCAGTGAGATGAGATAAAATGATTAAGTTGTTTGGATAGACACACGTTCAAATCCTAAGCTTAATCGAGTGGTTCGTGAATGAAAGGACCGTATCACTATTGAGTTCTACACGAAAAGTTTGTTTGCTTGTCCATGTAAACGTACTTCATATTTTGAGTTCGTTCTTCGACGCAGTCTAGGAGTTTCGTACGGATCATAAATTAGATTTATGTCAATATATGAAGACCTATAGGGTCACACAATATGCAATCAGTTTTCCGACTAAGAGTGAATCGAGAGTGTTAAATATTCAATTGGATTGAAATATTTATTTGTGAGTAATGAGATTATTTTCTATTTGATAGAAAATAATTAATTAAGTTAAATTGAATTTATACTTAATTAAATTATTAATTGGATTAGGTTCAATTACCTATTGGGCTATAGGATTTCCTAAGGCCCATATGATTAGGTTTGACCTAATTACAAATATTTCATTATCTCATTCATAATAATCAATCTATGGAGCGATGAAAAGAGAGAAACACTTTGAGAGATCCAAAATCTTATAGATTGCTAGATCAAGATGAAAACACTCTCTACCTTTCTGGATCGAGGATTCCTAGCTTCTTCACCGGAAGGGTTCGTGCATCGAAAAATTGGATTGCGTGGATACCATACAAAAGACAAATAACTGTAAGTTTTCGTGTATCATTCATGCGATCTAGGATCATATCGAATAGCTATAGCTAGATCTTTGTTGTTGGTAAGAAAAATTTTAAAATTCCGCGGCGCATACGCTAGGTTCGTACGTCTAAAATCCAACATATATAGATGTATTTCATTTTGTGTTAAACAAATAAAGATATAGTTTGATAAACAAGTATTTAGGACTAAGACCATCTTCAACCGAAAACCCCATATTCAAACCCATTTTGTAGTAAATGTCACATTTTGCAGTAGTTCATCTCTAACTGAAAACTCCTTTTTCAGACTCAAAAGAATATTCTCGGAATATTCTCTTTCACATCAACTTTTATAACTTTTCAATACTATCCACATATTTTACAACTTTTCAAATTAAACCATACTATTATTATTGTTTGTAAATTTTTTTCTTTTAAAAATATACTAATATATAATAAAAATAAATAAAACAATATTTAACTTGATAATAATTACTAATACTAAATATAATATATACACATACGTAAAATGTTGATAAATATTATATTATAGAAAAAATATATTATTTTAATTTATTATAATTTTTTTTTATTAAAATGTTGAAACTTGATACATATAAAATATTAATGCCATAACATTATTTTAACATCACCCAATGTGTCCCTTCCAGTTCCGATTCCACAAACAATTTATTTATTTATTTATTTATTTATTTTTTTACTTTTTAAACCCTTTGTGTAATTATTAAAATTAAAAGAAGGATTGAATTGGAATAATAAAAGTACAAACGCATTTATTTTGCAAGAACGCAAACTTGCGTCATAATCAGGAGAGAGAAACTCAAAAACCTATTTTGGGTTTGAGTTTGCAGTACCAGAGAGATTTTTCCCCATTTTTTGGGTTTTACTGCTCGGTTGGAGATGGTCTAAAATAATGATTTAATTAAATTAAAAATATGATTCTAGTATTTTGAAATAGTTTTGTGGGTAAAAAAGTTACTTTTACATATCAAACAGCTAATTACTTTTCGATCACTTTGTATAATCAACTAATATTAGTCAGTTAGTCAAATTTACTAATTTAATCCGTTGTTTGCTTTCTGTTATTATTTAATCACCTTTTTTTTATCCGTATGTTTTACTTTTTTTTATCCGTATGTTTTACCTTTTTTCATCCTTTAAATTTAGTGATGTTTTTTCCTCTCGTTTAAACATACGTATATTGATATGTATGAGCATATTGATATCATTTGAAATATAGAACAATTGTTGCAAAGCATTTCAAATCATGATAGTGATGATCATAATTGAACGAAATGGTGCCAATTGAACGATAAACACAAGGATACGAATGTTGTGGCCCATTCCAAAGGGCCCATCTTTTCTTTTTATTTATGGGCTAGTGTTATTTCGAAGCAATGGATCTACGGCGTTTCATGGGCCCTTAGATATTACATATAGCCCAAATAGTTCAAGATTCAACACTTAAGTCTTAGGTCCAAAAGATATGGGCCGACACTCTCAAATGTTTCCCATGTATCCACCACCCACCTGCTGCCACATAACGACAATTAAAAAGACAAAAGCAACGTCAGTTACCATTACCAATCCCCACGTTACCAAATTTGTACGTATCCACGTTATTTTCGACGTGGCTCTGTTAATCTAAAAATGTACTATGCATTAACGATTCCATCTACTCCCCGGCCAATTAAAATTCTAACTAATACATTGAATATGTCATTTAAATTTTCATCTATAACAAGTAAGAAAATACACATTGCATGATTTAATTCAAGATTATTTAATATATTGTTATGTGATCTCAATTTGTTGCTATAAATTTTTCTTTTACTCTATTCAGATTAACAAACCATATATTATTCTATAAAGTATAATTTTTTTTCTACATAGATTTATATCCTACATTACAAGATGTAATTCATGTTTGAACACTCAATATGTTTTTATGAGCAATTGTTTTTTTTTTTATTTATTTATTTATTTTTTTATGGGTGCATGGAATAACACTAATAAAATAATGAGTAATCTATATCTATATATATATAATAAGAATTACTATTTACTAACAATAATAAGCAAAAAAATCTGGGAATATTAATTACATTCTATTTTTAGAATGTTTTTTTTATTTTTTTAATAAAAAAATTAGGCGCATTTAATGCTACCATAAATCATGAAATTTGTTATATTAAATTTCAAATTTAAAAAAAAACTTGCCTAATTATATTTTAATTTTTATTAAAAAATATTTAAATCCCAAAGATTGAAATAAAAAAATCCATTTTTATCTTAGTAACAAATCTATAATAATATATGATATGACATTGGAAACACGTTATATTAGAAAATAATTTGACTATTTCTCGGCAGATAATGTAGGATAACGAGATTAAAATCAATTACCTAATTAATTAGCATATAAATAATTAAGATAAATAATTATTCATTTTTTGTTTAATTAGACTTATGAAGAAAACTTAAAATTTTTGCCAATAAGATTGTGAATGGATATCAAATAATATTACTACAAAACTAACAATTAAAATAATATTATTACACATCTGATATTTTAATTTCAACTATTTTAAATTAATATTTTATTATTTTATATCATATTAATTTTAATAATTATATTTTTATTTTATAGTTTTTAATCATTTGAAAATTTTTCAACAAAATAATAATTTCCGAAATTTTTATATAGGTTTATGTATTATATTCCAATGCAAGGAATAATAATTCTTTCCAACAAAATGCTCCAAAATATGTATTTCATACTAAATGCGTTAGCATTTGCGAGATATACACAAATTCGTATAATATATTTCCTTGAAATTGGTAAAAAAAAATAAGAATTAATGGATGGACCGGTACAAAAATGATAAAAGAGATATAATCAAATCACTTGACATGCAATACATTACATATAGACAATGTTGATAGTAATAATATAAAACTGATATACAAGACATATGGACTATATCTACTATATAAATATTCTCTCGTAAAGTTCGAACGTGAGATATTAGATTATAATACTAATTATTTACTCAAATAATATTTTAGATAATTTTTTTACACATTCAATACTCACACACATAATATTTTAGATACTTTATAGATTTTATTTTTATTTTTATTTTTTTTTTGCCCATTCTATACATTGAAGTTTATATCTTTAGGTGTTGTTGGACATTTTGTCTTTATAAAATGGTTTAGTGGAAGTTTAGGTGACTTAACATTTTTTAAGAATAATGTAGAATATTTTAGATATCTTACATATGTTATTTTAGGTATTTTTTAATACATTAAACATACATGTTGTGTTCTTTTGTACATGATAATTTTATATTGTACAACAAATCGATATACTTAAATTATATTACCTTTTTTCCCATATATTTAATTTATTATTATTATTATTATTTAATGCTATTTATCAACATCTTTACTTTATAATTATTATTTAATATTATTTTCCCGTGCATCGCACAGGCTACGCACTAGTTTTATTTAATATAAAGTGATATTATAGAAAATAATAATTTATTGGTTGATGATACAATGAATACTTTAACTATTGTGTATATATTAATTTTGCTCAGTTACATTTCACAGTCAAAACAATGAGTTAAGGAAACCAAAACACAAATTAACTTGTTCTCTTACCCACTGAATACAAAGTTTCTAAAAAAATTTTTTTAGATAAGAAAGGTCAGTTAAGTAGTAGAAAAACTATTTTGGTGTAAGAATAAAATATATTTGAATCGTGAATTAATTAACATGAATTAATTAACATGAGGTCATGAGCTAAAATGTAATGATTGAACTTGACGTGATAAAAAAATTAAAAATTAATAAATAAAAATAATTCATAATTAAAAATATATCAGTGAATGAAAATAATAAATTTTATTAAAAACTAAATAATAATCATTAATTTTTATTATTTAATTATATTAATAAAATTAAGTAAAATAAAATGAGATTAGACGAATAGGGATTTTTAATTATAGTTCTAATAAAAAATTTATTTGAGACGACAATATTTTCAATGATTTTACTATTCTTTAAAAAAGACTTAGAAAACCACACATTTGAATTTCTCTAAGACAAACCCTAAATCCGCCAAACTTCTAGACGGCCGTTTGTCCTTGAATCTACCAATAGTCCAATACAAATGGGGAAATTCTTCCCTCGATTTCCGTCTAGTCACTCGCTTCGGATTCTACAAACCTCAGGCTTTGCAAATCCGAGCCTCAACCTCTTTTAAAAACACTCGACCTGCATTTCCCTTCCCATCGCACTCCAGCTAAAAAAGTGGCTGTGTGTAAGCTATCGCAGTAGAGAGAGTGAGCGATATTGTTGACCGGCGGCGATCGAGATCGGAAGTTGGAAGCCATGGCCGACCACGACGGAGACCACGACACAAAGGAAAATGCGGCTGAGTCTCTGATGGACAAGATCACGGATAAGCTCCACGGAAGCGATTCCTCGTCCGATTCCGACGACGACGACAAGGACATCAAATCGACGGCCTCCGACGTCAAGGCCAAGATCTACCGCCTGTTCGGCCGTGAGAAGCCGGTCCACAGGGTTCTGGGCGGCGGAAAACGTATGAACACATAAATTATACTCTGTGCTTGACCGATTACATTTGCATATTGAGTTTTGGTTGTTATTTGAAGTAGTTGGATTTGTTGTTTGTGCGAATGCTAATGTGATTAACTGTGTGTTGTTGTTTTGCTTTTGCAATATTGAACTGTGGGCTTTGAAGGATCTATGTTTTAGGTAGTCAATGTTGATACATATGCATATTGAGTTCCGTTTGTTATTTTGAAGTAGTTGAATTTGGTGTTTGTGCAAATGGTATGATAAATTGTGTTGTTGTTTTGCTTGGTTACATTGAAATGTGGGCTTAAGGAGGATCTGAGTTTCAGTTAGCTATATTCCAGGCAGCTTTCCAGATTTAAATTGTTATGATTAGATTGCAGGATATAAGCTTTTAATTTTTTTTCTTTTCCCCAACTGTCGTATGGAAACTTGACTCTTTGAATAGTTGTTACTGCTTTGTTATAGAGCTGGACATGTTTGTATTGGTTGGGTGAAAATCAGATTTGCTTCTATATAAGATGCACGAGTACTCGGTGTTGTGGTTCATTTGTCCGAGAGTGGATAACTGGTGTTGAATGTTTTGCTAATATTATTATAAGCATGGCAGCTTTTGTTATATGCTTTGACAGTGCTGATGTGATGGGTAGGAGTGTGAAGGTGAACTCTATTTTGCAATAGCCAATATGAGCCTCATTGAGTTAATTCTTTTGGTCGCTGCTTGCAACATGGTTATAAATTATGAATTGAGATTGGTGAAGCCTACCTGCTATGACATTGGGAGGTCTCCTGAACTTTTGGAAGTGGACTGCTAAGTTTCTGATGATGGATTATCTTTGAAGATTTCTGATTCCATTAAGTTTATGAAATCGTTGGGTTCTCTAGATAGGTAAATGCATGGAAGTTAATCTTCAATAGTGTGTCTCCACTAATATTTTGTGGATATTAGGTTTTTGCTTATTCTTAATATTGGATGTTGAAGTTTGAAGCTAATACCTCAGCAGAACTCATGTATGAATGTGATTATTGGGAATGATTTTATATTTACTCATGCGGCTATTTGTCCTAGAAAACTTGATCTGATGTACTTTTGTGCTTGCATACTCTAACCTATTCTGTATATATGTTGAATATTTCTTCTACTGCAGCTGCTGATATTTTCTTATGGAGGGACAAGAAGATTTCTGCTGGTGTTCTTGGTCTTGCAACTGCAATTTGGGTGCTTTTCGAATTGATGGAATATCATCTGCTCACACTTGTCTGCCACATCCTGATTCTTGCTCTTGCAATCTCTTTCTTGTGGACAAATGCTTCAACCTTTATCAACAAGTAAGCTTTCTGCCAACCTTTGAACCTCCCATTACTGTATTTTTTTTGTTCTTCCTCTATCCTCATCTCTTCTTATATCTATATTTTCCAGGTCTCCACCTAAGATCCCACAAGTTGTTGTCCCTGAGGATTTTGTCCTGGGTGTAGCTTCAGCTCTTAGGATCGAATTCAATGGTGCTTTTGCCACTCTTCGAGAAATAGCATCTGGGAGAGATATTAAGAAATTTCTTGCTGTATGTTTAAAGTTAAACTATCTCATTAATTTGTTGATATTTTGTGTTTGCTCTACAGAGTTTGAGTCTAATATTTGCGTTTGCTGAGAAATTTGACTTCTTTTTTTCTTTAGGTGATTGCTGGCCTTTGGGTTGTTTCAGTTTTGGGAAGCTGCATGAACTCCCTGACTCTGTTTTACATATGTAAGTGCCTTACATTACTTTCTATATGCATATTTCTGTCGGCTTTTGGGCAAGTTTTACGTTGATTGTGATCTTTCTCTTGTCTTTGCTCCTTTCTCTATACAGGCTTTGTTTTGCTGCACACGGTGCCTGTGCTTTACGAGAAATACGAGGATCAAGTTGATGCTTTTGCTGAGAAAGCTGAGGCCGAGATCAAGAAACAGTATGCCGTGTTCAATGCTAAGGTATTGAGTAAAATCCCAAAAGGTCCTCTCAAAGATAAGAAGTTCGCCTAAAAACCTGACCAGAATGTGAAACTTTGCGTTACTAGATTCTCGGGTAGGATCTGTTTTTCTCGTTCTACCATTTTGTTGTTGTGGGCCATTTTTTTCGTTTCATGAATGAATGCAGTTCTGATATTAGGTGGTTTTGAGTTTTTAAATTGAAAGATGCTTCATGGATTTCTGAATTTTATTTTGCCTTTGGGTTGGATTTTGTGTGACAATTAATAGAGATTCATGTAATCAATTTTTGACTTTCGGTTCCAAGTTTGGTGAGTTTTTGTATCCAGAAACGTGATACACAGGAGCCTAATTTTCTACTGCATTCAAATTTGAAAGTTGCAATCAGTTTCATCCAAATATTAGTTATGTAAGTTTTATGTTATTATCAGAAAGTTCAATTTGAGTTGTTTGATGGGATAAGTGATGGACTGATTTGTCGAGTGATTTAATCACTTTAATTTTTTTTTTATTTTTTTTTTACTAAAAATGATTTCGATTATTGTAACCTGGAATTAGTGCTCAAGTTTGTCTGTGTTCAACGCTTTCAGTAGACAACTTCGTTCTAATTATTTGAAGGTGCTCGTTTAGTTTGTACATGTCCTTCAGACTTTAGATTTTATTGATATTGAAATTACAGGTGGCTTTAGATTCATTCCTACCATGAATTTAGTTGCATATCTGATCTCAAATTTCCACCAAAAAAAATATAATATAAAAATTATAGGCACCGTAAGTACAGAAAAAGTCATAGTGTAGTGAAATTGAAAGTGNCATGGCAAAGCGTCAAATGTTTATACCCTACAATCATACCAAAGTCTAGACGTATATTGTTCCTTGCTACAGCTCTTTGCACACAAATAATGAATCCAGATATCACATTCCGAGCAGCAAACATTCATGTCATCAACAAAACCTTTGATTATTTCACTGCAATAACTGCACCTCTGATTCCCAACCGAAATCATCCGAGTCAATGCCAGTGGATGGTCCGTGTGGCAAGAAACATCGAGAGTGCTTCCGAATTTAACTTTCGACAGAAGCCCAACATTCGGGATACATTCGACGTGAAAGGACTGCTCACAATTGGCACAGTGATAAAACCAAATACCATTGGTCGATATCCTTCTCGCAAACCTCACGAAAGCACTCGTCTTTTCCATTCGGTAATCCGGTAAACATTAACTCGAGAGGATGCTTGTCGAATTTGTAATGGCTCACCTTTTTAGGTAGAAAAGCACACCCGACATGTATTGTGAAATCGCAACTAACGCATCTGTAGGTTCGTGAAGCCGAGGGTTGAAAAGGTGAATGTGAAGAAGGCCAGAGTTCACGGCAACAGCTGAGGGGTATAAGCTCGGTTTGCATGGTAAGGAAAAGAATGTGATAATTTTGGTCGTGTGATGAGTGTGTTGTGGCAATGGGTGCAGAAGCACACTCTAAATCCGCCATGGCAATTGTGTAAGGGTTGATAAAAGCTCGGTAACCCAATCCATTGCACGGCCGTTGACAGAAAAAACATGGGAAAGTCAAATGAAAGAAATACTTGTTTGAGTTTTGGTAAAGGGATGCTCGATATCTGAAAGCAAGGACCGTACAAGGAATATTCGCACAAAAGTCATGGAGAAGGTAACGACAGTTTAATTGAGGGCATTCCCAATATGGACATGAAATGATGGGTTGTATGCATGCGTCACACACAAATCCTTTGTCTGAAGAACGTGAATACGACATTAATAATGCTTCTACACTACTATTGTTGTCACTGCTACTCGTAAGTTCGCGAAAGGTCAAAGGATGGTTGTGATACTTCTCAATTTCCCACTTCTTTTTCCTTCCGATTCTGTTGATTGTTTGTTGTCTAGGTTGCGGTAGGTCAAACTTGAATACATATAACCTCCCTCACGATGCGGTAAATGGATAAGCAACTCTGCATCTGAATTGAAAAAGTTAATTAGAAGGTCTACTTAATAAGACAAGACAATGTTGTGTTTGATATAATTACCCACGAGAGTGAAATTCCCCATGTTGGACGACACACTTCATATGAGCAATGAAATCACGATCTATGGCACAAGCATAAAGCCCCTTGCCGCGTAAACTTCCTCCGCACACGCGACATCGTAGAACGTATGCTTTGTAGAAGTCTGTAGAAAGGGCGTACGTGAGTACTAAATGGTGATCATGAGAAGGATGTTTGGCAATGCTCGGCAACAATGTGCAGTCTCGATGGATCCAGAAATTGCAATATCTGCACAAGAAAAAACCTCCCTCGTGATTTTCGCCGCACACATCACATAGAGACAAAGTATCTCGGCAAACAGCCACCAAAGGATGTTTGTTGTGGCTATGGTGCTTGATTTCGATCTCTACTTGCATGGCACACAAAGGATGGACAATGTACTTCGGATAGTAATCGCTATCGGTAGTGTAGACGGTATTTGCACATAACTTGTTGCACCTTTTGCACGTGCTATTTGGATACGGGTTTATTTTGAGAGAGAGGTGGAAATGTAAGGGTGATCCACTTTATCCGGAAGCTGTGCGCACGTCTAGTGCAAAAAGAAATCACAGCCATTGATGCAACTATAGGACGAGCTCGAAAGAATTGGTAGCCAACAGATACTACACAAATGAGGCTTACTATTATGATTTCTATCTCTTTGTATTTTGTCTTGGCCTATGTAAACCAATGGGTGATGCTTATGGGCAAAATGCTCAACGGTCTCCATTGATATCAAATCTTGCGAATAAAACTTCAATAATATCAATCCACTTATACATCTGTAGTTTTATAGTTTATACTTTACTTTACCTATCAAGTAGGTATCAAATCAAACTTTGGCAATATATACACACATATCTATATACTTAACTTACTATGTTAGCAAGGAATTACATCACTAGGGCTATGGGATAAAAAGAAAGTTAGAGAGGCCTAATTAATAAGCAACATAAATTAAATGTTATCACTAGCATCCATCTTTATAGCAGCATTTGTTTCTTTAGATATATTTACATTCTACGAAATGTAGCATCTAACTTAAGCTTCATTCAATCATCATCGTCCTCAAAGTCGAGTACCATCCTCAGTCGTCTTCTCGGAACCGATGAGGGATTATTATCCTGTGTGGCAACGTGTACTGTATTTTCATCAAAATCAGCCAACTCATCCTCAATCCCATCATCTAATAGTGGATCCTCGGAATTCCCACCTTTCTCGGATGAATTTTCGTTTGAGTCTCTAAGATTATCAAGTCCTGTTGTGTCCATTTTAGAATCTCTATAATGGTAAGAAACTCCATTGTCCACTAGGATTGTATCGTTCATCTCATCGGATTTTGCAAGGTTGCCCCTGGAAAAGGAATATTCTTATTAGCAGCAAAAAACTAATAAAAAAACGAATGCAATTTTTCATTTTTATGTTTGTATTTATTTTTTATAAAAATAGAATTTTTGGATTGTGTACCTCTCAGAAGAATCTATCATGAGCTCCTCAGCCTTTCGGGGCCTTTTCTTTGTTTTTCTGCATCAAAAACCAGAGCTGTTAGTTAGAGAAATAAAACAAGAATAAGTTACTCTGTCCTGAAAATTCGAAGAAATAGATTCTTTCGAGCTATATAACTTCTTCACAATTGATTGAATAAGTCAGTGTAAGAGAATTCAAGTAATGAACTTAATGGTGTACACAACTCGAACATCCAAATGGTTATCTGTCCTCATGCAAATACCATTATACAGAATGAGAAAAACTGAAGTGAGAGAGTCGTACACCAAAATGGAGCTAAGTAATTCATCATCAGACATGTCCTCAGGCAATTCCTTTGCGACCTTCTTACTATGCCTCTCATCATATTGGCTTCCATTCCGCTTGTGTTTACTCCTAATACAGACAGATTAAACACGTCTTCCATTATTCTTGCATGTTTTGTTGTGGCTAATCATTTCATTTTCCCAATTATGAGAAAAGAAAAAGAAAAAAAAAGAAAAAAGAAAGAGAAAGAAAGCAAATAATTAAACTAGTTTTACCTATTTTTCATTGATAACAATGTTTCATCCTCAGATTCACTTGCGCCATCAGAAAGATGGTCACTAAGAGGCTCATCCCTCAAATTCATTTTAGATTGAGACTTGTTATTTTTCGGCCTTATAAGGCCAAGCTGCTTGAGTTTGCGCGAAATCTGAGCTGCAGAGAAGCCCCCATTGCCGTCAAGGGCATTAGCAATCATGTAGCTGCACCTCCTATTATCTTTAAACCTTCAAGATGTTGGAATATTTCATCCTCAGAATTTATTCATTTTCAGAAAATATCATCCAAGTTACTGAAGGGCATAAGTAGATAGAATACACTTACTGCTCAAACAATTCTTTGATTTTCTGCTCCTGATCCTCACTAAAAGCTTGAACTCTTTTTCTGGAGTGCCTAGGTAAAAAAAAACAGACTATTAATCAAAATGTGGACTCGATGAAATAACCGGGAGTAAATTGCCCTGAGCCAGGCTACACGACTAGATAATGATAAAAATGCTGAAAGCAATCGAAAACTTCCTGAAACTTACGTAGGTTTTCTCATGGATGAATTTTCTTTAGAGCTCTTCCTCTTTGCCTCAGCTGGAACTTTAAATCCAAGCTGTTTGAGAATCTTGGAGACTTGAGAGTTTGATATTTCTCCATTCGGATCGAGCTCACCGGCAATAAGTTGGCAACAATCAGTATTATCCTTGTACCTAACAGTGTTACAAATGAGTTATGTTCCATATTCTCTACCCAAGCAGAGTTCAAAACCAGACTGTAGATTCCTCTCATATGAAGGACCAAAATTCAAGTCATATTATTTTACACACACAGTTCTCTTCTAGTGATCTCAAATATCTTTTCAAAATATTATTACATAACTTGAGGAGAACTTACTTCTGATACAGATCCTTAATTTTGTCACCCATTTCATCAGTAAGTGTGATGTCATTTCCTTTTTCCAGTGACCCATTTGATCCTTCTTCAGGGTGACCCTCACTGTATCAAAAGAGGCAACATAAAACTTGAGGAGAAATGAATAATATTAAAAGAATTACCAAAAAAAAAAAAAGAGTTCTTACTGTTGGCTGGCATGGACAGATGTACCGAAATCATCATCGCCCAACGCATCTGCTATACTCCTTCGGGTCCATTTTTGCACTTCAAATAAACTATCTTCTTCGTTTTCACTCCTGCCTTCACCATTGTTTTTTCTGATTCCTTTTAGCTCCTTTATCATGGCTCCACAATTTATATAGTGGCACTCTTTTCTTGTCTTCCAGAATAGAACCTCGACAAATAGAAGGGGATTGTCCTTCATTTTACGCAACATCCTCCGGACCAAAGTTGTCAAGAAAGTAACAATATTCTCGTGTACTTTGGACGGTCTCAATTGCTGCTCCTCCAGGATATCGTAGAATATCGTAAGGAGTGATAACTGCAGAATTTTATAAAAAGATGTAAGAACTCAGTTTTTTAAAGTTTTCTTTCACAAATTATTTTCCTGGACAAAATATACCTGGTATAGCATTGGGGACAGTTCTAGATCATCACAAATCCGACGAAGAATGCTTATGATGTAATGATTAGTCGTGATGGAATTGGTCTTGTAGAACTTCAGCAACCAACACAAATTCTCAATGATGCTGTTGTTAGCAAGAGCCGAAACCAGAGAAGATGCGTTAAAGTCAACCTCATTGGTCAATGTCAGCTGGTCATCACCAGATGAATCATCAGTTTCGAGAAGAACATCATTATCGGCAACAATTCCTTCATTCACCCCAGACTCATTGCTTTCCAAGTTCGTAGGTTTTAGTACTGGTTGATCAACTTGAGTGAAATCCTGGGTGCTTAATTCAGCCTCTATATTGGTGTCCTGGTTAAGTAACGGATTAAATCCCGACATGTTGGCATCAACTGGCGCTTCACAAGTAGTGTTGCCAATCTCTGTCTGAGAGGCAACATTGTCCACACTTGGTTCACAAGCATTTTCATTCTTTTCTGTTGTCTTCTTTGTTCTTTTCTTCCTCGACTTCTTGGAGACCTTCATTTCAGAAATGTCATTAATTAGACATCTAGATTAACCAGTGTCAAGTGTCTACTATACATGATCTGGTGATCTATAATTAGAAAAAAAAAAAAGCCAAATTTAAAGGACATGGTGAGCATACTAGAACAAAAGAATTGTAATATAAATGCTTTGTAATCCTTTATAAGACTGACACTAGTATAATATTTATGCACAAGAACTGCTGGAATTATAAACGGAAAGTAATAACTGAAATTCAGATGTACCCGTAATGAGCCACGTGACTGAAGGTTCTCCACTAGACGCAGAATCACATGCATGCTTTCCACCAAGTTGGCAAGATCACTTGAAACATCACAAATACAGGATTAATATAGAAAGAAAAAAGAACTTATGTGTAGTGAATTTGTAGAGAAAAAACAATCAATGGGATCAATCTGCCCTACTTTAATTTTCTGGACGTGTATGTTGTCAATTTTAATGGTACATTTAGCATACACAGTAAATCTGTGCCACAATCTGAGATCCAATTCCAGTTCCAATGGACTACATTGCCAATCCAACACAAATGAAACTACTCAGAACCTCTGCTACTCTTGTTAACCCGTCAGAATTTATTTATTTATGTTGAACAAATTTATTGAACAAGGTCAGAGCCATGTCTAAAACTTTTTGTTAACATAGTTGAAAATTATCAGCAAGTGGGCTCCAATATTTACAACTAATCTAATCCAATATGATTTGCCTAGGAAAATTAAGCACCTCAGATTTCATGGTCTTAAATCAAAATATTTCTGGGTTTGGAAGATCCCAAGCTCTCAGATACAAACATCTCAGCAATAAAAGTTCAGAGCAGGTACTACAGCCTTTTAAAAACAAATCTTAAGCAAACATTTTAAGAAACAGACTATTGAAATGTGTGAGAGTGAAACCTTTTGGACTGCTTCTGATCATCAAATGACTTGATTAGGTTCAATAGAAACTGTGTCATTCCTTCCTCAGTTTGATCATAGAATAACTTGTACAGAAGTACACGTGCTGTCTGAGGTTCCTTAGAATCTTCCGGGGATTGCTTTAGTACCAAATCCAGAATGCGTATCTTCATTGGACAATATTATAAGTATTCGATGTACCAAAAGAAAGCATCTTTGATGTGCCAGTAGCAAGAGAACAGGAATGGTTTACATGACAGACATGCATTGCTGGCAATCATCATAAAAAACCATACTATGGAGAAAGAGCAATAGAATAAGACAAATGATAACTATATGCTTTAGACTTGATAAATACAGTTAAGAGTAAAAAAAGGAGAATACTTACCATAGTTTTAACAAGTGACCCTGCTACTGAGAGAAACTTATAGTCATTGGTTTGTTTTAAGCTTTCAAATGTGGACCGCCATTTTGAAATGACCAGTAGAAACATTGATTCATTCAGGGTTTCAGCAATTGGTCCACATATACTGCCATTAAAAATAGTGGTTTCATCATGGCGAGTGGCAGATGTCTCATTTTCAACTTCAATGCTAGGCTGTCAATAGACAGGATAGTTGTCAGTACTTGAGACAAGATCACTCAATATAACAAAGCTATGAAATCAGAGATGCATCATAGAACCACAACAAAAAGGGTAATATTGCATTTTTGGTGAATTTTTTCAGAATATGGGTTTGAAAGCTATTTTCTACAAAAATGAGAATTATAATGTCTTTGAATCTTTGTATTATTCTCTGCCAACAAAGAGGTCAGTCCTAGTAATTAGCTACTGGATGTTTGACATAGCTCAGGCCTATTTTCCTTGCAGTTACTGATCACTATTTTGGGGTGGAGAATATACAAGAGAAATAAGATAAGGCAGTTCACGCACAAAGATGCAGTGTTGCCCATTTTATCTCCTTTTTCCGTTTCCCTTTTGATGGTACCAGAAAGAGCTTCATATACTAGTTTCTGATATGATACCCTATTTCGGCCAAAGTACCGATCAAAGCTATACCAACTAATGACCCTATTAGACCCTCGGCCAAAATACCGTTCAAAACTATACCAACTAATGAAATTGTTGTAATGATCACACTTTATATCCACAATTTTCATCTTACCTTTGAACCTACACACTTGTGATATTGAAAAGATGTGGCGAATTGAGCCACCTGAAAGAATATGACAACATCACTACTAAGAATTTCCTGATGTTCTTTCACAATATCGTCAAGGATCGACCGCATCAGAACTGATTGACACAAAATTCAAATGAGATTTTAAACCAGGAAAACAGAACTATCCAATAGAGGTTGGATGAAAAAAAACATCATACTATATTGAAAGAAAACAGTAGTACCATTGTATCCCCCCATCAAAAACTGACTAATAAAATCAGCAAGTAAATGCAGGATTTCGGGTTTCGTTGATGGCAGTTCTATACTGTCCCCAGCTTTCCTTTTTGATGAACCACGGGCATTTTTATGAGATTTTAATGAAACATCACTAGCGGCAGAAGGATTTCCTTTTAGAAGCGCTTTAGAACCATCCTGTTGTAGATACAAGTATGTAAGAAGTTATTTATTTCAGAAACTAATGAGATGTCATTTATAATCAGGCACAGCCTACCAAGGAGAACCGGGTAAATGTTCCACTGAGCTGTGAATAACAACTGAGACTATGAAATTTCAAATGCTTTCTTTTCTCTTGTTCCTCTTTCATAATAGATTGGAGACTGGTAACTGCATCTTCAGAAGCTTCACCAACCTAAAAAGTGCACAATGTATGAAAAACAATTTTTCAACAATCAAATGACGCAAAAGATTTGTCTTTTCTTCAGTAATTCAATGCAATAAGAAAAAAAAAATGTCACTAGGAATTATGCAGGTAACCAACCTTTGAGCCCTTCAAATATGCCTTAGCAATTAACTCTGGCTCTTGACCTTTAAATATGTGATAGAAAATTTCCAGAAAGAGCAAGTTATCTTGATGCAAATAGTCATGTGAACTGCCAGAGTGTTGTGACAGCACCAATATGAGATCCATGACATTCTCCTTGAACAATAGTTCTAAAAACTTATCCCTAAGAGAGAGGAACTGAGTGGCTGATCCTCCGGTTATCTGGTGGCTTGATATATCTTGAATAGCTAGGACGTTGCGGAAAAAAGTGATTACCAGTTGTACCAGTTTCCAATCATCCTCCGTGAAACACTCACTGATTACATTTGAGCAAAGCGTAAGGTTGGAGCATATAGACCCGAAGTAAACATTCAAGAATAACATTATACTACAATTTTGAACTACACTAGTAATCATAATCTTTCTACTTGCTATTGATGAATGAAGTACTGAACGGAATTTCATGATGTTTCAGTTTATCGGGCCATATTATTAAAAAAAAAAAAAGATCCATGGACAATTTTCTACGATCATCCAAAACGAAACTAATGTTCGCATACATGAACTAAATGTGATTGCAGGCACAAACTCACTTCTCGAGATTTTCTAATGGGCTTTCCAGGAGAGACACTATCACTGGAATAATATCACTGAATGTAATAGCAGACTTCAATCCCCACAGATGCTCTATTTGTTGTGGTATATCAAGGGAAGCAGGCTCAACCGGCATTGTCAAAAATACCAACACCTTAACTGCAAAAAATGAAAATAAAAAATTAAAAAAAATATTGAAAACCCAAACATAATTCAAACAAGCAGGTACGAAGACTGATCCGTAATCCCTAGTAAACATTACCTGAATTTAAAACTAAGCTGCGATCTTCCTGACAATACTCGATTATCGGGATCAAATTTTCCCCCACAGTATTCCATTTGCAGATTTGCTTGAACACGTCTCTCTTTTCCGGATCATCTCGCCTTAGAAACCGAAGTAAATCCTTCAAGTTATCTGCCAAAAATGCATCAAAATGAAGAAAAGGCATCACGATCTTCTGAATTTTCCACAACAGATTCTCAATTTGTGATAATTTTAAAAGAAAAAAAGGGTACCTGAACAATACTCAGATTTGCGGTAGCCCATGGGATTCCCATTCTCGTCTTCATCCAAAATCCCGAGGCCCGCGCAGATGCTGGATAAATCATCCATTAAAGCTTGAGCTAAAATCCTTAAGCTTGGGGGAAAATTTTGGTAATACGAAGAAAAAAAAATAAAAATTAAGCGGGTGAAATTGGATTTCAGTTGATCTATGTGTGGAAATTTTTGTGATAGGGCTTTTCAGTGTGGCTTTGGCGCGTGAAGCATATTTTCCCGCCTTTTGAAGATTTTGGCGGGAGACTGCATATTGCAATTCTGCAACTTTCCGATTTTTTTCTCTTGTTTTGTTTGGTAAGTGAAACGACAGCGTATTCACGTTCTATCAGTTAAGAATGAAATTCCCGTTTTGTCCTCCAAGCCCAACTCTCATTGAATGCTTGGATATAAGTTTTTTTAAAAAAAAAATAAAAAATTAAAATTAATTACAACTCTAATTTAATTCAATCTCACTATCTCATTGTTATCTATATAATTAAATAATATCAATAAATCATTCTTGCATATCACATCAACTTTAATTTATTGTTCCTTCACTCACATAATACATCACTTCTTTTTTTTTTTTGGTACAAAAGAGGAGGCCAAAGGCCTAACTGAGGTTTATGCTAGAACGCGTCGGGGGTAGGATACCCCTATTATATCATGATCGAGCCATGTAGTCATGCCTATGGGAGGGGAAGGTACACGCTGCAGTCCCAATGGAGCGGAGAACGCCAGGTTTGCCATGCAATCAGCCGCAAAGTTGGCTTCCCTATGAACGTGCTGGATCCGAACACTCCACTCGCTTTGAATCATGTCACGGATGGCCTGGATTAGGGCATCGTGAGTCCCATGCCGATCGTTGGAACCAAGGATCATTTTCGTCACACATAGACTGTCAACTTCGGCAATTACTTGACGATAACCCCGATCCCAAGCCAGTTGTAAACCTTGAAAGATACCCCACAGCTCGGCTCCCGTGATAGTGCTAAAACCAATATTCATGAGAAAACCCTCAATCCAACTACCCGATCCATCCCTGAGGAGACCTCCAGCACTACTTCTAATTATATTTTTTTACTTTTACGTCAAATTGTAATTATTTTATTTTAAATATTTACAAATTTCACTCAAACCTAATTCAACTAATTTTTTTAAAAAAGAAATGCTATAGGTATATAATAATGTACATAGAGATGTACATAACACTCACATTAAGTGGGTCTTACCAAAAATAAAAATTAAATGGACCTCACTCCATGTGAGTGTTATGTACACCTCTATGTACATTTGTTATGTACTTGTAATATTTTTCTTTTTAAAATTAACTCTAATTAACCAATAATTCATTTTTTTAAAACTCAAATTAACCAACAAACCTAACTATTTCTAACTACCGCATTTAATCAATTAATTTTTTTATCACAACAACATTAATTAGTACATTTTTATATCCAATCCATTCCTAATCTCAAATTTATGTCATTTTATGAAAAAAGAATTTTCTTCAAATTATTTTTTCCGACGAAACATTTTTTTTTTTTTCGAAAAATATCTCATACACAATTTAAATTGATGTGGATTGTTGGATTAATTCACAATAATATCGTTCTCATGTATTTGCCATACGATCATTCTTACCTTTTAAATTTTATCCATTTTAGTTTATGAAAAATAAAGTCTACAATATTCTACAGAGCCCATGATCTAGCACCCATTGCCTAAAACTAAAAGCGAAAATTCAATTGACAAAGATGCGCAAATCCCTCACTACATACATTTTTTTCTGTTTCCTCTCATTTTTAAATTGTTTTATTGTACTTAAAAAAATAGGAACGATTTGAATATAAATCTTGACAAGTTCACACCTAATGTCAAATAAAATCATTAAAGGGGTGATTGGATATGAATTCAACTAGTAAAAAATTAGTTTTTTTTTAACTATAGTTAAATTTGTAAAAAAGTAGTATGGTTAGTTGTTAGTGGATATATTAAAATATTATTTAAATTAAAATAATTAAAGTTGATTTGATGTAAAAGTAGAAGAAAATGATTGGAAGTGATGGTTAGTTAAAATTATGTGAGTGGATGAATAGTGAATTAAAATTGATGTGATGTGTAATAATGATTGATTAATATTATTTAATTATATTGATAATTTTAAAGATAGTGAAGTTGAGTTAAATTTGAGTTTTGAATTGAATATTTACTGCGCAAATTATATACAATCACACCCTAAACTCTTTGCTCGATAATCCAGACTTTTATTTTCGCCCTTGTATCTTTCCAACGATTGATGTATATTTACAAGATGCCATAAAAGCGTAAATAAAAATTTGAAAAAGAATAAATTGACTTTATCGAAACATTCACTTGGACAGTGGTAAGGTAATGCATTATCTACGTCAAATAATAGTAAAAGTAAATACTAGTACATCATTATTCTCTTCGAAACTCTCGATCAAACCAAAGTAAAGTTAAAAACACACCAATACTGCACCCACACACATTGAGTAATTAGTTACTCAAATTCAAACTTCCANAATTTGATTTCATATTCATCAAACGCTCTTGAAAATTTTCTTGCTATAATCACCGTTCCGCTCGTCCCAATATTTCGACCACAACATCACCCCACCGTACTTGCACGAACGTTTAATCTCGGGCAAAATTTTCCCGGTCAACACCTCCGGCGGAACATACCCTCCTCCGGCGGCCTCCCGGGCCGCCGGCAGGCCTAAAAAGAACTTATCAACCCTAATCGACCCGTTGCCCGTCCACTCTCTCCACGACGCCAACAAATTACCCGTGTTGTTCGACGCAGAGTTGAACTGGCACGGAGGATTGTTGTAGAACTGCACCCACAAGTAGTCGAACCGTCTTTTCCCCTCGAACGCGGGCCCGATATTCCTGTCCGGGAACGGGCACTGCGGCGCTGCCGACACGATAATCGTCTCGTTGTACTTTCGGAGGAAATCGACGAGCTTTCCGTAGTAAGTGGCCAATCCGTGCTCGATGTCGAGATCGACGCCGTCGAGGACGGCTGGGCCAAGCGGCCGGCTGGCGGCTGCCGCCGGCCGGCCGCCGAGAAAGGTTTTCCATAGGTATTGAGAAAGGCTCCGAGCATCGGCAAGTGATGTGAGGTTGTAGGTGTCGGTGCCACCGCCGATGGAGAGAAGGACCTTAACGCCGAGCGACTGGCAGAAGTTGATGTGATCTGTGAGGAATTTGCAGGTTCCGTTGGATGAGGGGTTGCAGTGGCCGGCGAGGTTGAGCTTGGGCTTCTGGCCGGAGCCGAACAAGTAGAGAAAGGCTATGTTGACGTAGGCGAACCTTTGGGTGGCGCAGGTCTCGTTCAGGGCGGCTTCGTTGCCGTTCTGACCCCAGTAGATGGCGATGCCGCCTTTGCTCTGGTTATTGTTGCCAGCCAGAGCAAGGAGGAAGAAGAAGGGGAGGAAGAGGAGCGGGAATATGATGAAGTTATGTTTTGATGTCATTTTATGTTCTTTCTTATTTCCCCTATGTGTTTGTGGTAGGGTTTTTCGGGATGTGATATAGTTGCTCAATTTATAGAGGTGAATGTGAGAGCAAGTACTCCAAAGCCTATGAGTTGGAGGGTCAATTAGGGATATGGTGGATTTTGAGTGGGATTGCAGGCTGAATTAAATAATTGTTTTGATAACTTTACAATTGGTTCGGTAAAGTTCAATCGAAACTCTAACGATCAGATTATTTTTCTTATTATAAAGAAAAGTTATTTATATTATATTTATGTTATAAATCCTCAGATTATTTTTTTATTATAAAGAAAAGTTATTTATATATATATATTTATGTGATAAATCTTGAGTGATAGAAATAAAATAATACTATGATATGAGTATTATATGTGTGTTATTGAACTTGGTGAAAAGCATTGGTCAAGGGACTGGACAAGGGTAAAATGGTAATTTGGTGTTGTAGTTTAATTAGTCTTGGTTATACGCTCCTTATGTTGACTACAAAAAAAGTCCGGAGATGACTCGAAAGTCAAAATCCAGCACTTTTCTTTGGGAATAAATTCAATTTAGTTTCATTTTCTTTACTGATAATAATAAAAGTTTAATTCAAGGTTTCCCAACCAATGAATCAAATATCTGTCAGGAGGATTTGTTCCCATTGGAGTACATATATCCACTAGAAGTTTACTTAACTAATTGTTAAGAATACTCATTAAATAATATTATTAACAAAGTTCGTGAGTTCGATCATTCGTTCATGGAATCAAACTAGCTACCACTGTCGAGAAACATCTGGGTGGTCTCGGTGTGAGATGTGAAGTCCACTTCATTCGCTGGGAACCTCCTAGAGTTGGTGCTGTCAAAATCAATACGGATGGTTCACACTTGACTTCATTTGGGATAGCGTCCCCCGGGGGTTTGGTTCGTGTGCCGATGGTAGATGGTTGGAGGGGTTTATGATGAATATTGGGTATTGTTCTATCACGGGAGCATAATTATAGGGCCTCCACCAAGTTTGATGATAGCGTGGGATCTGGGTTATCGTAAAATTGTTGTAAAAGTCGTCAACACAAGTGTGGTGTCCATGGCGAAATGAATTTCAACGGAAAACTTTGGAGTTCATGGTAGCTTGGTTCGGGCAATTCGAGAGTTGTTTAACGGGAACTGGGTAACTACAGCGAGACATTATAAAGAAGCTAATTTTGCGGCGGACGGTTTGACGTCTCTGGTTCATCGTTGTCCTACTGGCTATCAGAGATTATTAGACCCACCATCACTGTAGCTACAACATGACTTCGTTGGCATTGCTCATCCACGGAATATAACTATCTGATGGTCTTAGGCTTTTGCCTCCTCTCTTTGTACCCAAAAAAAAAAANTCATCCATGTAATTTTATCTATTTATTCCAGAACAAATTTGAATTGAATATGCAAAAAATATTAATTTAATATTCTATATTGTTCTCTTGACAACTTTCATCAAAGTGAAAGAACGTGTGAAAAAGTCCTTGGCTCTTAACGTTCTCCAATTCACGAGTTGAATTAAACACCACACGTTAGAGTTACAATAAAAACAAATATTTTTTGTGTGAAAAAACCCTAAATATCGAATGCATTGTTATTTTATATCAAATAATTCTATCATATACGTATGCATTTTCACAGTTCTCACACTAAGAACCGTTCTTATTCTAAACTATATCAAATGATATGTAACCCTACAAAGAATATAATATGAATACCGTAGTCACCAATTATCCCAATCACGTGTTTTTACTTCACATCGCATCTTTTGCCATCAGTTGTTCTAAACAAAGCCTTTGAAACATAAGAGTTCCCAAACTCGTCATGCGCTTCATCACTAATGCCATTTTCTCCCAAATCAACGAGCTCGTTTATTTCTCGCCATCTCGATTTTATCACGATTGTTGTACTTGTCACTCCATGATTGGTTGTTGTCCTCATGGCTGATTAACTAGAGGCTTGGAGGTTGTTCCTCGTCACCAAATGACAACAAGATCAGTATATCATTTTTTCACAACTTCTTCAAGTTTATCTGAGTACCTCTGAAATATCTAGCTTCTTTTATGCTACTCACTGTAATCCAACCATTAGATTTTCATAAGAACTATCTCGTTTGAAAATCATTTTAAAAACTTTTCAATGATAGATCAATTTCGATAAAAAACTGAATATTTTTTTTTATACATATATGCTGCTTACATTATTCGTTGGTTAATAATCGAAGAATCAACTATAAAAAAATAATCATAAATTTACATCTCATTTTCACAAAAAGCTACTAATTAAATTAATTTCAACGGCACATTTATAATTTTTTTCTTATGCATACGTGCTGCTGGCATTATTCGTTGATCACTAATCGAAAAATCAACTATAAAAAAATAATCATAAATATATATCTTATTTTCACGAGCTTCAAAAGTACTAAATTAATTTCAACGATACATTTACGATAAAAAATCAGATATTTTGAGCATCAATAACTAAAAATGAAATTTTTTTTATTCATACTTGTTGCTTACATTCTTCATTCATCAATCGAATAATCAACTAAAGAAAAAAAATCATAAAGTATATCTTATTTTGTTCGTTCATGAGCTTCAAAACCTACAAAACATACTAAATCAGTTTTAATATTTGGTTTAAATCTTATCATTAATTGAGTTTTCGAACTTTTGGTATCATCTTAAAATTTTAATATTTAAAAGTTAAATTGTCAATGAGATGCAATTTTTTTAACGGTAAAACTTTATACCACAAAGTTAAAAAAGCCAAATAGTCTAAAAGAAATATGAGCGGGGACCTTTGTGAATTTTAATCTTTTGCATTGTGGACCTTACTATTTCTGCCTATTATGGATTTCCCCCTCTATTATTTACACATAAACGACGTCGTTTTCAACCCTATCTTCATCTTCTCCAGTCTTTCTCTGCATGGACTGTAAATTGTGAACACTCTGATTTTCCAATCCTTTGCTCTGCACCTTGAGTTTCAATTCGAGCGTGAGAAAAGGAAAAGGGCATGAAAAATCAGTTTAGGGCTCAGTAAATAGATTTGTTACAAAAAAATAAAAGAAAAAAAAATGCCCACCATTTCTATTTTCAAATTTCCAATTCCTGCTCCTCCACCAATCTCAAGTTCCAAGATATTCTCCAGAAGCCCTTTAATTCTCCGAATTTCGACACCTCGCCCCCATAATTTCTCCTCAATTTCCAGCTCGAAAAGGACCCTTTTTCGATCCAAGTCATCTGAAGGGGACGCCATGCTTTCGGAAGCTGAAGATGAATGGCTTCAAAAATTACCTGAAAAGAAGAACGCTTTGTACTCCCACAGCTTGCCTTGCATCGAGGCTTGGCTGAAAAGCCTAGGGTTTCACCAGAGCAGAGATGATAGGGCTGTGTGGTTTATCGAAAAGCCCGATTGGCACGCGCAGCTCTCGCTTGATGTTACCGATTTATACATAAGGTTTGTGATTTTATGAAATGCAATTTTTTCTATCATTTACTGTTTTCTTTAAATTTTGTTGGGTGGTATCTTAGAATGAGACTGTGAGCTGGCTGGTTTTGGTTGTTAAGGTGTGTGCAACTGAGGTAGATTGACTTGAAAGTTTGATCCTGTTTTTAAAGATTGAATTTTTATCTGGATTTTCCCCTTTTTTCTTGGCTTCAAGCATTAGGTGTCTTTTCATTTTCTGCTTAATATCTAAAAAGTATAATTTGATGAGGAAGCCACTGTCCTCCCACCACATATTGACATATGATAAGTTCAATATATTCTCTGAAATTTTTGTGGTGATCAATGTTCATTGCTTCAAATTTGGGTTTTTTTAGCATATGCAGAAGCATTTGTAGTTTCGTGTTTCGGAACAATGATATGTGGGCTGAGTTGCTTTTGTGGCCTTTTTCATGGAAGTGTTATTACGTGCAAATTTTTAAGGCGTTATCAAAGTTCTTTCATTTTTCTGGTTATCATATGTCACAAATAGCTCTAGATAAGATAATTTGATGAAGAAGCTGCTGTCACACCACATATCGCCACTTAATAAGTTATGTTCTCTGTCTTATATTTTGTGTTGTTCAATGTTCATTTCTTCAAATTTAAGGCGTAAGCAATATTTTGTTGATACTTGATAGTTCTTGTTCTGTGCTGTCAAAGTTCGGTTTTTAGCTTATCAAAATCCAGAAATTGCTATCTGAAGTCACGGGAGAAATTTAGTTAAGCAAATGGAAAGTCAGTTTTCTTTTCAATCTTGATCATTTGCTTTTTTCTGCCGAAATCACGTCATTCTTGAGGATTGTCGAAATGAAATTACTCGAGCTGTTTTTCTCCGGTTATGCAACAAATTAGTCGTTAATTGCAGCTTATTAATGAGAATATGAGATCATATTTGACTTGCAGTAGTCATTTTTCCCTCATTCGAACAAATGCAATTGCAGGTATTTAAAGAGTGGACCAGGTAATCTGGAGAAAGATGTTGAGAGGAGATTCAGTTATGCGCTGAGTAGAGAAGATATCGAAAATGCCATACTTGGAGGACCATGATGAGGTTGATTTCGATAGATCTATTTCTTAAATAGCAATTCTTTTTCCTTTTTTTTTTTTTTAAATAATTTTTTTACTATTAGCCAGCCACCTTCAATGTGTGATTCTGCTTGGTTAATGTAAATGATCCTCCTACTAAAATTGTAACTATATACTATTAATGATGGAGAGCAATTATTTCATGTTTGAATCGATTTTTGATGGATTTTTTTCCTCACTGGTTTTGCATATTAGAACTTTCCTGGGAAAATTGCAGTTAAGACTCATCTGGAATGAAATTCGTAATACCAAATTCGACTTTCGCAATTTTAATCTTCAAAACATCTCCTAAAAATGCTTCTTACGCGCATTTTCTCTCTAAACACATTATTGTAAACAATCGAGCATTTTACTGTGATTCTACTGAGTGATTATTATTTGACCAATATTCTTTCACGAGCTGACCAAACAACGAGTCCTCCCTCTTTATCAGCTTCATTGGTTCATCGTACTCCACAAGTTTCCCTATTTCAACAAAGACAACATTAAAAATCGTGTCTCATCTCAAGCATAAGCAATTTTCTTGCTCAACTATAGTTAATTTACTTCTACTCACCATCACTGATGGATAGAACCATGGTTGAGTCCATAACTGTGGGTATCCTATGAGCAACTGTTATCACAGTACAATCTGCAAATTCATTTCGAATAGTTTTCTGCAAGATCATGTCTGTTGCATTGTCGATCGATGCAGTTGCCTCGTCTAGCACCAGAATTTTGCTCCTCCTTAAAAGGGCCCGGCCCAAACAGAACAATTGTCTTTGGCCCATGCTCCAATTAGATCCATCCTCTACAACTGCAGTTAAGTTATATATTTAGTTCTTGTTAGTTGCAATCTGATTAAAAACTTTAGGGTAAATGTTTGTTACTGTCACTGTTAGTTAATCGATTTTTCTTGAAGGTTTACTTACCGGGTGAATCCAATCCACCTTCTTTCTCGTGAACAGCCTCTTTGAGCTGACACTTCCCCAAAACCTTCATGTTTCGAAAACAAAAATAGGAAGAACAAGAAAAAACATTACCGATATAATTCATTCACATTCAATTCATATTCAAAATCTAACTCAATTCCACTATCGTCAATATTATCAATATAATTAAATAATACAAACCAATCATTCTTACACATCAATATTATCAATATAATAAAATAATACAAAATAATCATTCTTACACATCAGATCAACTTTAATTCAATATTCATCCACATGTTTTTAACTAACTATCATTTCACATCATTTATCTCTTATTTTTACATCAAATCGACTTTAATTATTTTAATATAAAATCAGAATTCCAGTAACAACTAACCGTTCAACTTTTTCAAAATGAACTCTCGTTAACCGAAAATCTCGTTTTGAGCGGATATATATTTGTATCCAAGCACGCCCTAAACTCCCAAGAAATGAACTTAAGTTACCTCCCATATTTCCTCGTCTGAGTGCTGACACAACGGATCCAAGTTATATCTGACGGTCCCGGTGAAAAGAGTCGGATCTTGAGGTATAATCCCAAAACGCGACCTCAAATCGTGAAGCCCAATTGTCGAGATATCTACTCCATCCACTAAAATCTTTCCCCCGGAAGGCTCGACTAGACGAAACAATGCACCAATGAGAGTAGTTTTACCGCTTCCTGTTCGACCAACAATCCCGATTTTGTGTCCTCCCTCAAACTTGCATGTAATCCCGCTTAGAACAAGTGGCCCATCCGCTCTATATCTAATCTGTTTTTCGAATTACAAATATTTAGTAAGTTCTTGCAAAAAATTATGCAACTGCGAATATGCGACACACAAGCGAAGATAATTGATAAAATGCCAAAATATTATGCGTAAAACTATGCGACAAATAGGCGAAATAATTGATAAAATTTCAAAATAGTTATGCGATAAGCTCAGAATTTGACACTATTCTGTTTCCTTACAAAAAGAATACTGCAAAGTTCTGAACTTTCCTTTTTTTTTTTCATCCAAAACCTAATAATCACTTTCTTATTGTAATTTGTGCACAAAATACTTACCTTCAAATCTTGAATCTCTACTTTACCCTCAGCCGGCCAGTTGACCGGCGGGCGATTATCTTCTATAACTTCCGGTGCCTCGCTTGCTATGTGCATATACTGGTCGAGTCTTTCTACAGAAATGATGTAGTTTGCTAACATGCACTGATTATTGATAGAGAACACTAAGGACATATTTAAAGATAGGCCATAGGACAAAGCCATTCCAATAAATCCTGCAACAACAAACAATCAAAATCAAATACAGAATAACTCGTCACTTTAAGAAATTTATTAGATATATATAAGAAAAAAGGGCAGCAAATTTCAAAAAGTTGTATGTTAAAACACGAACCGGAGCTAAAAGTTCCACTTGGAAGTAAAACCATGCAGAGGCCCGCGAAGGAAAGTACGGCTGCACTAAGTGTTTCGAGCCTTTGGATCAGCCACTCGTTCGCCGAAAAATAGTGGAAGAAAGGGCTGGCATTGGTGTCGATTAATTCGAGGTTTTTCGCGAAAAAACGATCTTCCTCTTTGAAAGCTCTTATGGTGGTGGCCCCTGCTACGGATTCGGCTAGATGGTTAGCCACGAAAGATTTTGTGGTCCCATTAATCCGCATCAACTCTTTAGCCGAGGCATAGTAGTATTTCTGCATATGTAGAAAATTTTCATATCTAATCGATTTTTTTCTTATTATTATTATTATTTTTTTCTTCTCTTTATCTTTATCTTTTTTTTTTTGATAATTTTTACTCGGTTACCTGTAGTCGAATAGCCAGATAGATCATCGGTATCGAAACGAACAAAACTTGCCACGTTATAACAGCCAACACCACAAGATTTGAATAACAATTCGTGGTCGAACCGAACGTGAAAACCAAATTGAAAGGGATATCCAAATCGACAATACTCAAATCAACCGAAACCTGCAAGCAACAATAATCATAATTCATCTCTTTATTTTCCATTCAAAAAGAAAAAAGAAAAACTCGGCCGAAAGATAGTCTTTTTTACCCGGCTCAAAATTCTTCCCAAAGGCGTGGAGTCGTAAAAAGACATCGGAGCACGAAACAAAGACACCAAAAGCTTCGAAAACAGAGCCCTCGAAGACTGCATGCCGAGGACAACTGTCGTTAATGTCCTCGTCAGCAAAAATAATGACGATATTACCCCTATCAGCAAGTACACGAGGATCAATCTCAACGTGCTGAAATTCGGGTCGTCGACATTTGCCGCCATCCACGAATTTTGTATTATTTGCCCGATCACGAACGTCAGGTGACACATGGCAGCCATAGAGAAGATCAAGAATCCTCGGTTTCGGTTCTGCTTTAGATATATAATGTAGGGCTTGAAACCCGTGTCGCCAGTTTCTCTCTCCTCTTTCTTGATTAGCTGATCACTTCCCGGAGTTTTTTTAGCTTTTTTTTCCGCGTACGCTTTGTGAATCTCCTTTGACGAGGATGATGATGGTTCGGTTCTTTGGGAGGATTTTGTTACCTCCGAAAGCCTCTCGGTGCCAGCTGTCTCCTTGTGTGCGTTAATGAGATCTCGAAATTCTTGGCTCGTGGCTATCATCTCGTTGTATGGGGCCGCGTGCAAGATTTCGCCATCTGACATCAACTGTAGAAAAATTTCTCTGTCATTAAATGATGATGATGATGATGAAGATGACTAAAGCTATGTTTGGTAGACAAATAAGTTAGCTTATGACTTATTTGGTTAGCTTATAAGCTCCCTTCACATAAGTTTCGTTTGGTAGGACTGACTTTTTTAAAATGCTCGAGCTTATCTGATAAGCTTATTTGGGTAGTTTTTCAAATAAACTTGTTGAAATTTTTATTTCAGCTAGCTTATCAGCTAATTTTACCAAACAACTTATTGGCTAGTTTTACCAAACATAGCCTAACAACTTAAGCTTCGTAATTTTCATGACATTAAATCAAAAGGCTTAGACATAATCGAAAAATCGCAGAACTAACTCACCAAGATAGAATCAAATGCAGGAAGAAAATCGACTTGATGAGTCACGAGTAACACCGTCTTCTTCGCAAGTGCTCCCATTACATATTCCTGCCGAGCGCAAAATCAGCTTGTAACTAATAATTAAAAAAAAAAAAAACCTTAAAAACCAAAAAAAATATGAATACAAACACAAAACAAGCTCGTGGCAGTTTGAGCATCGACAGCACTAAAGGGATCATCCAAGAGGTATATATCGGCATCACTATAGAGAGCACGAGCAAGCTGAATTCGCTGTTTTTGACCACCACTAAGATTAACGCCTCTTTCACCTATCTCGGTTAAATCACCGTACGGTAAAAGCTCGAGATCTTTTACGAGCGAACATCTCTCGAGTGTGTCTTGATATCTTGCGTTGTTTAAGGATGATCCGAAGAGAATGTTTTCTCGTATAGTTCCTGTCTGAATCCATGCAGACTGTGAAACATACGCAATGGTCCCATGAACTTGAACCTGAACAGAGTAGATTACATTTACACCACAAGAAGAATTTACAGTTGAAATTTACTTCGATATAAACAATTTTTTTTACATTTCGCACATTAAGCTTCGTTTTTTTTTTCTTTCTTTTTTTGCGTCTCGCCCCCCCGAACTATGCATTTTGCTCGACGACCCCAAAAAGACAATTAAAAATCTGTGTAATGTACTCTTTACTTCAACTACCAAGCATATTCAAGACAAAAGCAATAATTAGAAAAAATAAAAAGCAAAAATATCACCACAAGAACTTGAACTTGAACCTGAAGAGAGTAGATTGCACCACAAGAAGAAGTTACAGTTGAAATTTACTTCCAAATGCATATTTGAAAAAAATTTGGTGAAAGTTACTTCGATATAAACGATTTTTCGCACTTTGCACATTAAGCTTCGTCTTTTTTTTTTTTTTTTTNCTACCAAACAAATTCAAGAAAAACCAAAAAATCAGAAAAAAAATAAAAAATAAAAAATAAACTCACATTTCCTTTAGTTATCGGGACCTCTCCAAGAATCGCTGCTAGAAGCGTCGACTTGCCCGACCCAACTTCCCCACAAACCGCAATCTTTTCCCCTCTCTTCACTTCCAAACTCACATCCCGAACAGTCGCCTTATTCACCGCATTCTTCTCATCCCACGAGAGATCAGCCGACTCAAACAAAACACTAACAATACCACAATCACCGCCAATTAACTCCTTACGAACTCCCGAGCTCTCCAACTCTTTCGCCTCTAGAAACCTCACAATCCTCACAAACGCCACTTTCGCCTGAATAAACACACCAACCACATCCGGAATACTCCTCACCGGATCTTGAACGAGCCTTAAAGTCGCCACAAACGTAAAAACATTGCTCGAAGTCAATTTTACTCCGACCACATAACACGTGCCGAAAGTAGCTGCCGAGACCAAAACCGGCGAACACCAAAACAAAAACGAATTGTAAGCCTTTCGCAACTGAACGGCCCTCAACCAGACATCCTCGACTAACCTCAATTTTTCGATCGCGCGCATGAAATGAATCTCCCACGCGTAAAGCTTCAATACCTTCATATTCACTAGAGCTTCGTTCATCAATTTAAGCCGTTCGTCCTGTGCTTCCATAAGCTTCGTCTGAAACTTATGCTGCAATTTCGCGATCGGCATGTTGCAAAAAACGGTTAAAAATATCACGATAATCGACGAGATTGTTGCGGGCCCCACGGATTGGAAAAGAATGAGTATTGCAAAGCAGAGCTGAAGAGTAGTTGTCCAAATTTGGTGGAACCAAAAAGGAAATTCGCCTATTCGGTAACAATCGACCGTGACGTAATTCATTATCTCGCCGCTCGAGTGCTCGAGTTTAGCGGAATTTGATAATTTCAGCTGCTTTTTATAAACGGCTGCAGTTAGTAAAGATCGGATTTTGAGGCCGACGAGCCTCGACCGAAAATACCACTGCCTTTGAGAGACCGATTCAAGTATTTTTGTGAAGAAAAGAGTTACGACTAACAAATAACGCTCGTGCTCGAAGCTTTCTTCATTTTCGACGACTGCAATGAAGGCTTTGAGAAGCAACGGGCCTAAGGAGATCGTGACGACCTTAAGGAATGCGAAGAAGCCCGAGATAAAAATCTCTTTCCAATAGCATGTGAAGATTGTTTTCAAGATTGATTTTTTTTTATGGCTGTAAATGTTTAAGTAGAGCGAGTAGCACGATTCTGCACGGTCATCCATACGTAGCTTCGGTATGTCCTCGTCTTCGAGGGTTTTCTCTTTACCCGTTTTCATTAACGGGTTTAGCCACCAGAATGTGAATGTACTCAGAAAACCCGCTTTAGTGAATGGTGTTACGTTTTGATCAACCCGGTTTTCTTTAAGCAACGGGTCGAAAATCTCGTTTTCTTCATCATCATCATCATCTCTATAGCCTCTGTAAGCACATGAGATGAGTAAACAAGATCCTACAAACGATCCCACATCGAAAATGGTTTTTATCGAGACTTTCTTCTCAAGAACAATAGCATTGAAGAAAGATAAACCGAAAATAATTCCGGTAAAAACGAATGCCGAAATGGACAAAGCTCTCGAAAAACGGTGTCCCTTGAGACTTACTGTTAACCCCACGAGCAACCATACGAAGCCGTGAAAAACGAATATCACCCACGAATGTAAGGGTAAAAAAAAATTCCAACTTCCACTCGAGTTTGAGTTTTCTTCTAAAACCCATGCTCCGTAAATTAAATTAACTGAACCAAGAATGACGTTGTAAACGGCGGACACAAGCTGCAAACTCGACAAGCCGCGCGAGTTTATTTTGAGCGGTTTTTTGGAAATGAAAACGATGAAGAACGCGATTAGTAAAAAGGCGTCTAGAAAAATGGTTAGAGCATTGTTAATGCAAGATGAAGGGTTTGTGAGAAGAGTTAAGTTAAAATCACAATTGGATTCTCCACAGAACACAAACCACAGGTTCCCCATCAACTCTTTACGCCTTTTCGAGCTCTGAAGTTCAATCACATGAAAACAAATAAAAAGAAACAATTTTTATCAGGTAAATTAATTAATCTTGCAGGAAGTAAACAACAGACCTGCCATATATAATCCCCACTGGAAGAAACTTGAATAAATGAGCTTTTATGTGATCAATAAAAAAAACAGAGAATTTCATACAAACTCATATCATAAGTGAAATCAAGAAGCTAAATTTGATTCTCATTTACAAATAATGAACATAAACCCACATAAGTAACATGTAAGTGAGTATCAAGAAGTGAAAAACTTTGACAAGAATTGCATTTTTTTATCCAAGATTCAACCTTTGACAAGAATTGCAAATGGGGTCTCCAAAAAAAGGTGATCTTGCACCAACCTTTCTCAAATTCACATTAATATCCACATGAGAGAGCTTCAAAAGCAGTAGTTCAGAAAGCTTACTTTCTATTTCCAACTTTTTTCTTAAGAACAAAAGAATTACAGGCTACCATATTAATTAAAGAGTTGTAAATGCCCAGTGAACACATAACAAAAGGGACCCAATATCAGGGAACAAAAAAAATCAGATTAGATCAATGAACAAACATAAAATAAATCACAATAATGACCCAAGAAATCAAATAAATAATTATTACAGACAAAAAGGGAGATGCTAACCTGGCCCTAGGCCCTTGAAGCCAATGACTCGTCAATCAATCCTTTCAAACACTGAAAAAATGTTGTTGTAATATTATTTATTATTACACATCCAAAAGCATAAATGGTATGCATATAATCTGAAAAGAGGGTAGTTAAATGATCAAATATTTTCGATTTAAAAAGGTGGGTTTTGCAAAAGAATATAGAAAGATTCGAAACGGGTAAATGGCATTGTGAAGATGAGGAGACAAGATTAGATTGGTGCATATACAAAGTAAAAACACATTTTCACTGTGTGTAGTGTGTGAATAGACACATACATGTCTTGTTGTATGTGGAAGTTTGTATTTAGACTTTGTTTATCGGTGACCCAATGGTTGGGTCACCAGAAAAAGACAAAAGAAAAAAAAAAAAAAGAAAAATCAACAAAAAGGCATGACCCAAGTCACAATGTGACCAAGGGTCACAGCCGGTTGGGGGAGAAGTTTGGGACACTTGTCCAATTTTTGTTGGACAAGTGTATTTTTTTAATAAGATAAAAAATAATTTATATTTTTAAGAGTTAATTTATATTAAAAATAAAAATAAAAAATATTAAAATTCGTATTTTTTCATTCTCTATAAATAGAGACCACATATGATATATTTTGGAACATAATTTTAATTTAGTAATGATAATTGATTTGTGATTTTATTCAAATTATTTGTAACTTGTTTAACAAATTTTATTTTTTGTTCTAATTTTTATAATTTTAAATTTTAATTGAGTTCGCAATTTTATTTTAGATTATAATTTTTTTAAAATAATTACGACTTTATTTATAATTTGTTAATTAATTTGTCACGCTTAAAATAATAACACAAATCAAATGTAGATAATACTTAATAAATAAATAAATAAAAATAAAATAAATATTTTAGGTTGGGTTGGGTTGGTGATAAAGATAAGTTGAGTTGTAAAGTTGGGTTGTGTAAGTAGATGAGTGAGAAATAATTTTTAATTGTTTAGGTTGGGTTGGGTTGGGTTGTTGATAAAGATAGTCTTATAGTTTCATTCGATGTGTTTGATACTTTGATTGTTGCAGAGTGACGTAATGTCTCACGTTTCTCATCGAGTGACACGTGTCAATGTTTGGAGGATTTGTTTTTTTACCGTTAGATAAAAGAAATTAATTCAGTAAAAAAATCGATGATTGATTGTACTGTGAAAATTTGATAGGTTGAAAATTTATGTCAATGTTCCTTGCAATTGTATTATATAATGGTTGCGTTGGACTGTGCTTATTTATTAATGGTGATATTATGCTGGTTTAATTGTTATATATAAAAAATAGATATGAATACATTTAAGTCGAGATGTCATACTTAAAAATCAATATAAAATGATATTTTATAATATGATTATGTATTTTTATTAAAAAAGTATGACGGATTAATCCGTTTACTTGTTAAACTATCTTAAATAATGATTTTAGTTAGTTTTGAAATAGCACCATAAGTATTATATGTGCAAGTAAAATCAACTTTAAACAAACAAACAAATAAACTATAAGACTAATATACGATGAAAAGAAAATGAGGTGTGTAAATGAAATGGGTTATAGAATAAAAACAAAATTATTTCTCATCAAATTATTATAAAGTTTGGAAACATGCATTTGAAAGTTTGCATATTTCACCTAATAACTTTCTGTCGGGTACTGTTTTGTCCTTTTTTTTTTAACAATGACTTTTAAATTTGTGTTAAATTTTATTTTTTGACACTGCCAAAATATATAAGAGGAATCTATCAAGTCATATATATACCAAAAATCTTTAAATTGCAATATTTGTTTGGCCACCTTAGGACTTTATATTTATTTGTGGTTAATATTAGTCTGTGGATGAGTGTGCTCTTCAAATAACGTCATGGCATACGTCTTTTGCAACTGCAAGTGCCAATAATTACGAAAATTTCCCTTTCACATTTATTTTTTCCAAATATGAGAACATACATATATCACTTTTCAAATCTTGAAACGTCATTTGCATAAATATTTTATACATAGAATTGGTCTTTCATTAAGGGAAACAAACAAACTCCAGTAGAGGCCGTTGCATCATTTATGAAGATCAATACGGAAAATTCGATCTCTGTGTGCAGTGAACAAATCGATTTTTTTGCCTTCTCTAATTCGGCCCGATTTAGGTTGAGAATTGGGAATGAATAATTGTTTTTTGCCTTCTCTAATTCGGCCATATAAATCAAAATTACGTCATATCAAATTAAAAAATCATCACATCTTGGCACGTCATCGTTTTTTATTCGAAGAAAAATTATCAAAATTGAAAAAAATATCAAATTATAGGACCAAATTTAAAAGTGATCAATATTAGAATGCAAAAATAAATTTGGCCAAATTATAGACAAATTTTAAATTTTTGTCCACTTGTAATCATTATTAAGTGATGCATGTCATCATGAGTCTAAAGTGAGTGAGGATATAATTTGTAAATTATGAATAATTGCTGTAGCAATCCGTGGACAAAAAGACATTGATAATATGTTGAATGAAAATCATCAATAATGATAAAAGAAAGTGTGATCAACTGATTTGCGCGCACTTCGTGATAGTGCAAGAAAAACACGTGGTTGGTGCAATAATTGACACTTTAAATAAAATATTTTTGTATGTAAAATAATTTTCATATAAAAAAAAATAATTATTAATTGTGATGTGGTATAAAAACATTAAATCAACGATTGATAGTTATATATATGTGACTGAATGAATCTAATAAAAATAGTAATAATTTATTTTAATATAAAAATAGTGTAAAAGAATATGAATGGAGAAAAAAGGAGAGAGAGAGGAAAAGGTGAAATGGAGTGAGTTATTTTTTTTATTGACGAATCTATACTTATATAATAAGAATTAATATTTATCAAAATTAGTAACTTAATTAATGGCAGTCAGTTTTGCATTTATTACTTTCCAAAATCGGTAACTCTTATGTCCATTTCACACGCTCAGCATTTATGTCCTTTTCACATTAGCGCACCTCATTAATAGCGTCCTTATAACGAAATAATCACATTTCACACGAGCATCCTTATCACATATTTTTTTATGGTAATCTTTTTAAACATATTTTTTTAACGATAAATTGAAGAAAAAAAAATCATATTATAAAGAGAAGATATCTGGCATAATTTTAAGATTCAAAAACAAAATCAGAAGATATTTCATACACTTTATCATTATTCAAAACTGATATTAAGTTTGTTATTCATTTCCTAAAACAAATACACGTGTTGAATTATTATCTCTAAAAAACTATACAGAACATACGCATATATATATATATATATATATGTACATATACACATATTAAATTTAAATATAGACATATTTTCTTTACAAAATAGTCTAGAAAATTTTTTTTTACACAATGTTAAATTCAAATGTTCTTAGATATGTTTTCCTTCTAAAATTGTTTAGAAAAGTTGTAGATGACTTCACATCTTTCAAAAATAATATAGAAAATTTTGAATACTTTTACATATATACTAATATAATATTTTAGGTGTTTTTAATATTAAACATGCAAATTTTATATTCTCTTATACAAAATAATGTAAATTTCATATTTTCTTATACAAAATAGTTTTACATTGTTTGACCCCGAATCTTTAATTTATAATTATTAAGTATTGTTTATCCTCCTCTTTACTTTATAATTATTTTTTTTCTTTCTCTTTTTAAATAGGATCAATAGTAGTTTCACTTCCGTCAGTGACTCAAACTCGAGATCTATTTATAATATTGTAAATTTAATATTGTTCCCGTGCATCGCACGGGGTACACACTAGTGAGATAATGATGCTGGGAGGATTTCAAATCGTACTGTAGAAAATTAAAAAGTAATAAAAGTAGAAAATTTATTCTAAAAACAAATGAAACATTTTTAAGAATATGAGTATATATAAAATGAAAATATAATCGTTAGAGTTAATTAGATATAAGAAAATACTAACTGATATTAAATGTTATTTAGAAATATGTGGGTAACTGAATTATTTTGTTAAAAGTATATAATAATAATAATTTTTTTATTCTTTATATAAGTGAATTATAAAAAAAATTAAGATGACATAAATAGTAAATTTGGATACCATAAACGATCACATCTCGTTATCATATATTCTCATACCAATAGTTAAAACAAAATGGAACACGTAACAAATCAATAATCCATATATATATTCTCTTTAAGCTTATAGCATATATTTTCATCACACTAAATTTACAAATACAATGAAAGGGGTATGTGACACTAGCAAACAAAGACCTATAATTTTGTTAATAATTATCGTATTATATCTTGTCATTTCTTGTTCAATTGATGATTTTTTTTTAATTTTTTTTAATGGACAAATTTGAAATTTGTGCAAGCAATTAGGGGTGTTCACGGTCCGGATTGGTCCAGTTTTAATCCAAACTATGACCAAATCGGACCTAACGGTTAATTTTTTTTCTTGTCCATAACCGAACCAATTTTATTTTTAAACCGACCACATTGGACGGTCCGATTTGGCGGTTAGCCGGTGATATCCAAAATTTTTATTTTGGGCCTTCAATTTTTATTTTTTTCATTTTGGGCTTAATTTTTATTTTTAAATTTTGGGCCTAAAAGAGATTAGTTGGGTCTAAAAATTAAGAAAAATAACAATAATGAAATAAAAAATACACAATTCGTCCCATCCCATAAGCATAAAAGTACACATTTCGTTCCATAAATATAAAAATACAAAAATGATGAAGATTAAATTATGCAAACTGAACCCAAACAAGCATTCATTTTTCAGTCAGTTTATACACCTGAAATAATAAGAGCCAAGCATTCATAATGAATATATTGTATTTGTCGGCCATAGTGAATGACTAAATGTATATATATATATATATATATTTGTTATAATTTTTTAATATTTATCGGTCTGATCCAGTTAAACCGGCGGTTTGCCGCAGGTAATCCGTTAACCGGACCGGTTATTCCGGATTTTTTGAAAAAATTAACCACTAAATTTTTTAAGGCTTTTTTAACTGACTATTTAATCGATCTACGGTCCAAATTAAAAGTTTTTTTCGATTAAAACCGGACGGTGAACACCGTACAAGCAATGATAAAATGTTAGAAGTTGAAAATGGTCCATCATCCAATTATGGGGACCAAATATCCACATTTTGAATGCCAAAATTGGTGGACTGAGCAATCATTGTGTTCTCGCATGGGAATAAGCGATGATGCTCCCATGCATTCACAAAATGCATCTTTTGATGTATATCTATGTACATATTTAAAAAAATATCATACATAAAAATACCTGATCAATAATCAATATAATATGAATGTTTGGTAAGTCTAACAGAAAAGCTAACGTATATTTGATAGTTTAATTGACAATTCTTAAGTTAATTTTGAGCCAATAGTTTATGATTGATTACTGAAAATTTTGTTGTATGGTGATATAATGAAAATATTTGTTAACGGTAGCTGATAGAACAATTGAAATAATAATCTAATAAGCTCATTTGAAAAGTTACACATAGAGAAGCAATTGAGATAATCTCTCAATATTGTTTTAAACTTTATCATATAAATCAAATTATAAGCTAATAATATAACTAATTAATTACAAGTTATCTTATTATTTATACTTAATAAACGTACTTTTCGTCAATATTTTGCCGAGAAACAAATAGAAATACTTAATCTTGATGAATGACATATTTAGAAGAATAAGAATTTTGCATTAAATTACAAAGCACATTAATTTATACAGAATAAAGTTCGATTACAAATGTCTGTTGATCCCAAAAAGCTCGATTACTATACTGTAGTTATATTGGAATATGCATGGAATTTCCGGGCAATTGCTTAAGTAGATCCCATTATCAATCAAACAGGAATAAAATAAATTTCAATCAACGTCAGATCAAAAAATACAAAATGAGTAAATGACATTCAACTAGTGACTTTGAAAATGAAGACAATGACAAGAATTATTCAAGATTGCGTCGAAAGTGTATGATTTTAATTTTTCATTTATGAAAGTCGAACAAAAAAAATAAAATAAAATCATGACAATATTGTTGAGAAAAAGAAAGCGATTAAAATGGAGCCAGCCGTTCAAATTTTATCCACAAAGGAAATATATATAAAAAAAAAAAATGTATTTTGATCTAAATATAAAGTTACAAAAATTCTATTTGTTTTTAAAAAAATTGTATTTTCGACCTTATTAGGGTTAAAGTTGTAGAGCCGTGATAATGTAGATTTTCCTATACACGACAAAGGGTTAAAGTAGAGATAAATAACATATATTTTAAAACACTTTAATTAGGTCTACCTTTTGCACTTGATTTGTTGACCATAATCAACAGATATATGAACCACAAATGCCCCAAATCCTTTGGGGATGCTTGGATAATTTTTTTTTTATTTGATTGGATTTTTTGGTTTGGTTTGGTTAATTTTAAAAAAGGTGGTATGGTTACTTGTTAGTAGGTATATTAAAATAATATTAAAATAAACTAATTAAAGTTAATTTGATGTAAAAGTATGAGAGAGATGATTTGAAGTGATGGTTAATTAAAATTATGTGGGTGGATGAATAATAAATTAATGTTGATGTGATGTGTAAGAATGATTGGTTCATATTATTTAATTATATGAGAAATACTACGTTGTCAACCTAGTTTCACAAGTAAAAACATCCATAAAAATAAAAATAAAAAAATACACAGGTTGATGTTTCCCACTCGCGTTGTCAACCTAGTTGTACACTAGGTTGGCTATGTATCATTTTTCTAATTATATTGATAATATTGATGATAGTGGGTTGAGTTAAATTTGAGTTAAAAAAAATGATTGAGTTAAAAATGTTTATATTTTTTTTTAATAGATTTGTATCCAAGCATCCTCGACTTTCGATGGGCTACACATGTTTTTTCGTGTAGATATCATATCAATCTAGTTCTTATTATCTTTAATAAATTCGGCTCATCTTGATAAACAAGTTTAAGCTCGTTTAACAATTCGTTTGACAGCTCGTTAAGACTCATTAAAATTAGTAAGTCGGAGTTTGTAAATAATTTTATAAATTATTAACTTAACTCGATTTGTGAAGGCTTGAGTTTGACTCTTTAATTTTAATATAAATGAATCGAACTCGAACTTATTTATCAGTTCGAACCCAACTTAACTCGTTTACCCTGCATATGAAACATAAAATTTGATTTCTTCTATTTTTTTTACTTATATTTTAATTTTTTTTAATCACGCTATTAATTATTCATATAAGTTATCTTGCATAATTATCTAATTGTACAAGTATAGTTTTCTTTTATCAAAACCATGATTGGTCAACCTACTCTAATCGGTAGACAATTTACAACAATAATTTCAGAATTATATCAAATTTGCAGACTTCTGCTAAATCGCGAAGCTTATGCAATGCAACCTTATAGCCTATAGATTATAAATATATGATGATGAGCTCTAATATTGAAAGAACATTTAAGAAAAAAAGAAGAAGAAGAAACTAAGCTAAAAAGGGGATGAAAAAATTACGTCATTCACCTATAAATTCGTTTTTTATTTGAATATTTATGAAGTTATTTTAATAACATATATATTAACTATATATGTGCATAAAATCTCAAAACGTATAATAATAGGCAAAAAAAAATTCTTCTACGAGGCCCTTTTTTTCTCTCATTCTTCCCTAGATGAGGAAATTGCACACGTTACAAGACATATTGTCTTTTATTGCAAAATTACCAAATTTATAAAATTAATTACAAAATTACCAGAGTAATAAAAAATGAATTTTTTTAAATATGCAATTAATATTCAACTTAATTAAAGGTAGACTTATCACCTTCCAAACCAACATTCCACGACACTTTCTCTCTCTCTCTCCCCCTATCTCTTCATCTCCTTCTTCTCTCTCCCTCTCTCTTTCTTTTTCCTGATCGCTGCGTTTTTTATGTGGGCAAGAAGAATCGAAACAGGTTGGTGGTTAATTTTTATTTTCTCTTGAAAGAAAAGGAGCAGTGCGTGAACATAGACAAAAAGAAAGCAGCCATTTATTTGTTTTGTGCAAGCATAGCGTGAACTAAAAACGATGAGGGTAGAAAGGCAGCAGCGTGGCCGCCCGAGGAGTTTGTCCAAGGCGCCTTGAGGAGACGAAGGACGATCGGAGATTTTGTTGTTAGGTTTTAGTTGAGAGGAGGACCAGACCAGACGGTATATATGTTGTATATATGTAGTATATTTATACTTTTTTTGTTGTTTGTGTAGTTGCATATATATACTGTATATTTTTCGTATATATATTGTTTATATTTTTTTGTATGCACACTATTAGAGTGTGTATAGTTTGAATTTTTTGTACGAAAAATTTGAATTGAAAATCATAAGGATCACTGTTTATATTCTGTATATTTTCTGTATATGTTGTGTTCTCCACCATCTCGTTGCTAGCTTATAAAATGATCCTAGGTATATATATATTGTATATTTTTCGTATATATATTGGTTATATTCTGTATATTTGCTGCTCGTGATGGGACGACGTTGCTCGTGATGGACGACACTTCTTGTGATTGTTTAATTCAGATTTTTCTTTTTTTTAATTAATGAAAGAATCCCGTCAGTTACGGGATTCTTGGTATGGTAACTCTTAATTTTTTGTTTGGCAGTTATATTGTAGTTATCCAAATAATTATGTTAACTTAGGCATACTTGCAAATAAGTTTTTATTTTTGTATTTATGCAATTATTTTAAAATCCTTAATGTAGAAGTGCAAATTACCCTTCTTAGATGACACCTTACAGGCCTTATATTGTCTAGCCCAGTTCGTTTTTATTGGGCTTCAAACAAAATGAGGCCCAACGCAAAGAAAGCCCGTGCTTTTGATAGTACAAGCTGTTACCCGTACTTAATCCCAAGAAATTCCCGGAAAAATAATAAAAAAATCATCACCTTTTTCTCTTTTTTCTTAGCACAGAAATTCACACACCAAGAATAAAATAAAATTAAATCCACATGCCCCACCCAGTTTGCTTCACTTGGATCCAAATTTGAATCTCTGTTTGTATTTTTAAATTTTTTATTGAATTTTACTTTGATGATTTTGATTGGTTCGAAACTTACGAAACAATGGTGAACTGATTGTTTCCCAAATTCCCATCACCATTTTTTCTTGTTTCGGTTACGTGTTGGAATCGGTTGAGTTGAACTCAGTGATCGAATCAATTAGCCTGATCAGCTGAGAGTAACAGAGAGAAAGGGGGAAGGAAAAAAAGGAAGAAGAAGCAAATGCAGAGCAAGGGATCGAGTTTGCGGTTCACAGGAATGGTGATTCGATCCCGAATTTCAACTCTTTTTCTGTCTATGTTCGCAACATGTGCTTCCCTATACGTTGCGGGGAGGTTAGTCCTTGATTTGTTCATTTTACAATTTTAGGTTAAATTGCGTTCATTTTGTGTTCTTGAATCTGTTTTGGTTTTCGTGGTTAGATCTGTTTGTTTGGTGTCGTGTAGTTATTAGACACTTGATCGGTTAAAATGGGTTTTTGGATTACAACCCTGGAGTTATCTGGGTTCAGTTTACTTTGAGATTTTAATGAAAAAGATTCAATCTTTGCACAATTTTTGGGTGTCTAGGAGCTGGGACTGCATTAGATTAGCTATGTGGGCATTGCTTGTTAAGATTGGTTTTCTTGATTGTTACTATTTTGTTCAGAGGTATAGGAAAATCATTTCGCGCTACATCCTTTGGAAAGACGGTTAGTGTCGTGAGTTTTTATGTGATGAATTTGGTATTTCCAGATTGTGGCAGGATGCCCAGAACAGAGTTTATTTAGCAAACGAGCTCGATAGATTAACTGGTCAGGTGATGATAGATTTCTACCCGTAATTTGATGTTTTCACTTATGCGCACAATCAGATGACTAAAAGTTACTTCTTTATACTCAGGGAAGATCGGTAATGTCGGTCGATGATTCGTGGAAAATCTTAGATTGCAGGTCATACATGATTGATTTACTTGCTTTTCGATCTCATAAATGAAAATCGTGAATGTTTTGAGGTGTTGATAATTGAAGTTTTCATGCTTAACAGAGAACAACAGAAGAAATTAGTAGCCTTGGAGATGGAACTCGCGGCTGCTAGGCAAGAGGGCTTTGTTTCGAAGCATTTATCTGAGACCAATAAGAGGAAGCCACTTGTAGTGATAGGAATACTTACTGGATTTGGTCGTAAAAGTAACAGAGATTCTATTCGAAAGGCGTGGATGGGCACCGGTACATTAACTTTCTTCGTTCTTCAAGCTTAGGGCAGTTATTAATAGGCGGCAAAAATGCATTTTTTTAGTCCTGTTGGTTTAATGTCAAAGCAAATTCAGTCCCCAGGTTTCAACTTTTCGCCTTTTGGTCATGTGATTTAATACTTTGCTGCAATTTCAGTCGTTCGACTACTGAAATTGCAACAGAGTTTTTAATTACAAGACTGAAATTGCAAAAGAATTTTAAATTATAGGACTTAAATTGCTAATAATAAATCTACAAATTTGGGAATTTGTTGCAATTTTGAGGATTGAAATAAATCACAATACCAAAGTAGAATCTTGGGACTAAAATTAAAAAAGGCGGCAGCAGAAAATGCATTTTTAGCCTTGTTGGTTTAACGCTATAGCAATTTTAGTCCTAAAGTTCCAACTTTCCGCCTTTTGGTCATGTGATTGAATATTTTGCTGCAGTTTCTTTAGAACTGAAATTGCAACAAAATTTTAAATTATGGGACTTAAATTGCTAATAAAAAATCCACAAATTTGGGTTGCAAGGAAAAATACTAAATCATAGGATCAAAAGGCGAACTGTTAGAATCTTGGGACTAAAATTGCTATTCCGTTAAACCAGCAAGACTAAAACTATAATTTAACCATAATAGGCTAGCTCAGAGTTGTTTATTCCAAAATGTGGCTCTTTTTCGTGTTTTATTAACATCACATTCTCTTACTTTTTGTTGTTATAACAATCACATATAAGTGATAATTTCATAAATGCAGGTGTAACTTTGAAGAAGATAGAGGAACAAAAAGGCATCATTATCCGATTTGTGATCGGAAGAAGGCATGCTCTCTGCCTCTCTCCATTTTCGCATGTTTTAACGAACTGCTATTGTTTATTAACATTTTTGGGTGATTTGCAGTGCCAATCGAGGGGACAGCATGGACAGGAGCATCGATAGTGAAAATAAACAAACTAATGATATATTCATTCTTGTAAGACTTTAAGGCTCATTTATCATTGCGAATACTGTTGAATGCATATTAAAAAGTATGAACGACATTTATAATTCTCTCCACAATAAAAGAAGTTTTTAATTCTCTCCACAATAAAAGAAGTATTANCTTGATTTTTAATTGCGATTTTTCCTCCATCAGGAAAACCATGTGGAGGCACCCGAGGAACTACCGAACAAGACGAAGCTATTTTTCGCTTATGCTTCGGAAAATTGGGATGCTGACTATTATGCAAAAGTCAACGACAATGTCTACTTAAATATCGGTAGGTGTATAGAGTAAACAAATTTAATGAAAAATACTCAACACAACATTAATTTCATCAAAGCATTTTGTGTGGGATGTGAAAAAATCTTTGTACACTTTCTCTACAGATGCCTTACAAAATACACTGGCAGCTCATTTGGACAAGCCTCATGTCTATATTGGGTGTATGAAGTCAGGGGAAGTTTTTTCAGAACTGTAAGTCGAATTTTGACGAGGCAAATAAACTTGTGAGATATGCTGTAGAGCAAATTAATTCTGATATATATTTGCTCGTAAATTGGTGTATAGGGGCCACAAGTGGTATGAACCGGACTGGTGGAAATTCGGAGATGGGAAATCGTAAGCTTTTATCACTTTCCGCTTTCTAGAATCTTCTTTTCTTAGCGTGATGANTGTAATTTGTATTTTTGAAAAATTTTGTGTTTTTGATGAAATAATAGGTACTTTCGTCATGCTTCGGGTGAGATTTTCGTGATATCTCAATCTCTGGCTAAGTTCATATCAATCAACAAGTAAATTAAACAATCCTTACTTGGCTCTCGTATTATGGTGCAACTATTGAGTGCATGCATGACCACAAATGCTTAATGATCGACTCGTTTTGTTTTTCGTTGGTTAGAAATATTCTTCGTGCTTATGCACACGATGATGTCAGCGTCGGTTCCTGGTTTATTGGTGTTGATGTAAAGCACGTTGACGATAGGAACTTTTGTTGCTCTTCTTGGTCCTCAGGTTCCTCTCTCTCTCTCTCTCCCTCTCTCTCTCTCTCTATATATATATATATATCGATTAATTGCATTCTTCTGTTCAGGAGCTCTATGTTCAGGTGTGTGATCTCGTTTTTCCAAGAATTTGGGAAAAAAGTACCTAAAGTTTGGTTTGAATCTTCAATGGCATCAACTGACAGAAGTAACTCTACTGCACATAGGATAATTTTGTCTCAGGAGGCATTTTATTTTTATTTTATTTTGTTTTCTCACAGTTATATAATGAGAGAGCTGATTTATTTTACTTGGAGCTGTAGTTTTAGTCTTTTTACAAGCATAAATTGGGAATGTACTCATAATTTTCTGTTTTTACTGTGATGAATGTAGGATTAGGAGCACCTAACTGGCTTTGTTTTACTGTGTTTCACCTGGAAATTAAAATTTAGTTATATTTACTCAAATGTCAAAATTCGAATTAATGGCTCGATTGTTAGGCCGTCTAACAGTAGAATTTGCGATAATCAGAGGGTATTTATCAACTATTACTGTACACTCCAATTCAAACATTTGAAAGCAAACAACATCAACATCATAGGAGAGAAAGATTCACTTTGCAAATTCTAAATCTTTGGATGTGAAAAAGGCTATACTGTAATCCAAACAACATGATTATCTCAATCCTCAAAAGTAGAAAAATATAGGAAATGTCAAATTTTTTTGGAATATTTCATCATTTTATGTCAAAAAGTCATCTAATTTCGTATGGGATAGTTATAATCTTTGGACTTTGGGCACTAATAATCCTCCTAGTACCTTGTGCTTTATTTTTGGTTGAATTCCTTTGTCCATTTATCCAAAATCTATATATATATAATACTATTTACCAAAAATAGCAAGTCAAATCTATAGTCAAAGCCTCTTATCATTAATGACTTGCCATTAATGGAAATTAATATACTCCCTTCTATTTTTATTATTTGTCATCCTAGCTTAATTGATCATTTGTTAAATAAATGTCGTTTTGGCTATTTTGTACATATTTTTCTATTATTACTCTCATCTAACTAATAAATACACTACGTCTTTTCATATTCACTCTCCATCTTTTCTCAAAACATCAATCTATATCCTCATTAATGAGGATTATTATTGGCAAAAAAATATTCTTAATTATTGTGCAACTTCTCAAAACGACATTTATTAAAATAGGAGGGAGTATTTTTTTTAAACACAATATTAAATGCAGTCCATACCATATGGAGTTTGTTGCATTAGATGATAAAAAAAAAACAGAGATTGTTTCATTAGTTTGTTAAAAAATCCATACCAGTACATTAATTTGTTACATAAAATCCCGTGTTTTTTAAAAAACACGGGGTTGGCCCTTTATTATTTTCACAAAAAGTTGATACATTTTTAAACATATCATAGCGCTATTGCATGTTAATTTTTTATTTTTCTCATATTCTAAAACTTATAGAAAGATAAATTTGGAATAGAATTTAAATATGTGGCAGTTTTTATTTTTTAATAAAAAAAATGGCTGATTAAATAAAAATAGAAATTTTTTTAACAGAAAAATGGCTAATATAATTGTAATGATTGGTGAACAAAGAATAAGTAAAATTGTTATTTTCTCTTATATCAAGGAATAAATATATATACTAAAATCAAATTTATATTAGTATAAATGTATTAATGAGATAATATATTAATTATACTACAAGCTAGCCCCAACATGCTCATATTAATGTTATGGCTAAAATAATAATATTGATTAAAAAAAATAAAAAAGATATTATAACCATATTGTATTTTAGACTTAACGTTTATTAAAAGAGGTAGAAAATAAATATTAACTCTATTACATTTTAGTCATAAACGGACAAACTTATGAAAATAACTCATTTAATATTTCTATTCCGTGCATCGCACGGGATACGTACTAATATCTAGAACAGTAAGTCAAATCAAGTTGTTTGCGAATACAAGACGGTTCAAATCATGAATGTTTGTGAAAAAGTCAAAGTCTCTATCTAGAACAATTATTCAAATCAATTAAGAATGGGCCTATTATCAGATGGGCTTGGTCAATCAGTTGGTTTCGCAACCAAGAACGGACGTATATCATGGGCTTACTTTGAGCCCACTAACATAATATTTGTTTCTCGCACTCTTCGTTCCGGAACCTTGAGAGAGGCCCGATTACTACACTAATATTTGAGTGTTAAAGCTCATTTATTACTAAATATAATTATTTTGAACATGATCATGATGTTTATTGGTTCCTAAAAAGGTATTAATAAGATTTTTTAATCAGAATTTCATTGCTTGTTAATTGACATTCTCTCTAACATAGTAGTACTTACTTTTCCACTGCAAATTCCATGAACCTTATTACAGACGTAATAAACAAAAAATAAATATTGATTTTTTTAACAAGACACGAATATTCAATTGAATCAAAGTCCCAAATAATTATGAAAAATACTTGAACATGCAAAAAACAAAAAAAAAAAAAAGTTAATATTATAAGTTTACAATAAGGCTATTGTTAGGAAAAACTATCGGTTAGAGAACCGTACTTTTCAATATATATGCATAGTTTTATACATAAGTGACATATATTAAAAAAATATATATATAAACAAAAGTAAGACATCTTTCAATACAAGTATGCAATTTTATTCAAAAAGTATAACGAGTCGACCTGTTTAACCATCAAACCATCATAAATAAGAATTTGTGATACGTTTATCATAAATCAACGTACAATTAAGTAAAATACGATTAATCATTGCTTGAAAAAGTTCGGAATTAATAATGATTATCGTCAAACTGATTCATTAGATGACTTGTAGTCGTTTTTGTTTTTCATTAACCCTTTAATCATGATTAATTATAAAGTAATGGAGCACTGAATAGTTAATTATCTGAGACATCGAACCATCAAATGAATCACCCTTACAATTAAGTATAATCATTTATTAATATTCTCTTACTTAATAAGCAGGACCACTAATGGAAATTAATTTAAATTTAATCACTTAAATCTCTTGGGAAATTGCTGACAGGCACTGGCTTCCCACTTTAATTTACAAGCAATACATAGAACCTTCACAGAAAGTGCTTTTTTTTCGTGAATTTCTGAACAAATTATGTCACGAGTTGATCAGTTGATCATTAGCCTAATTCTTGGAAAGTTCTAATATGATTTGAAATTATTATTATTGCTTTTCACTATTAGAAGAGTCTGAAATATATTTATATTGATCTTTGTATTTCTTTATCCATAAAATGGCCATCTACAAGGTATTATTAAGTGAACAAAAATATAACACAAACCATATATGTAACACAAAGTAATGAATGATTTTCAATTACATAATCACAATACGTGGCACCTAATGGTTAGGCGGGTCGAACCGTTAAATGTTTCTTATTTTTATTAAAAAAAAAGCACACTTATTATATGAAATGCCATTTTACTTTTTTTTTAGTATACCATTTTGGTTCGAAATTATGCATATTTATTAAATAAGAATAGTACATGACTCTTACTCTTATATAATTGTCTATTTGGGTCAAACTAGTTACACACTTCATCTGAATTATCATTTTAAATACTTCGGCTCGAAATAATTTTGATTTCAAGATATAATAGTACTAGCATTGACACAATACTAATGTGGTATAAATAGTGTTATTTTAAAGCTCAATATAAAGACATTCGGAAACAAGTAATGAATAACTTCAACTAGTAAATTTTTTAAATTGGATTTATTTTTTATTATATTTTATCTGTTTTTGTAAGGAAGTGAACATGATGAATGCTGCAGACATTTTGTAGCTAACAAAAAATTAAATATTACTTGTTCGAGAAAAATGAGCTAAAACCTTGATATATGGGACTAACCCATGCAAGAAAAAATGAGAACGTGTTGAAAATTCAAACTTTGAATCTGGATTGGATCCACCTCTCTATATTAAGAATTAATTAATATATGAAAACTTACTTAGGTTATTAATAAACCATATCAAGAATCTCATGTTTAAGGAACTGGATTTCCTCATGACAAAAAACAAAAATAAAATAAATTGAGTTTCTTATATTTATTCATAACCTCAAACAAAGTTGTCAAAAAGATTGCACCATTTGTTTAAGAAAAAAAGAATGTCGGGAAAAGCTAAAGTCGCGTTTTCGTATTAGTCTTTTTTGACCATGCGAACGCGCCTTATATCTTGTCCCTGACACGCAGACAAGGTGTTGGAAAGGTAATGGAATTTTAATCCCTTAAAAAAAGAGCATTTATTTAAATTTTTAATTATCCAAGTAGGAAAATGAGATTTCAATATTTTAGAAATTAGAATTACACACTAATTTTATGTTTGATAATTAATATAAGCGAGGTTATAACTTCTAAAATAAGTTTATAATTAACTTTTTACTAGAGAGATAAGTTTGGTTTAATAGAATTTAATTTTTTTAAAAAGAATTTAAAACTTATCTGAAATGTTGGTCTAGCATACATAGAGTTTCAAAAACATCTGTTGAAATTTTTGTTTCAATTGACCTATCAACTAGTTTTTATCGAATATTATGTTTTAAGCTATTAGTTGCAAGTTAACTTATTAATTATCAATTAACTCATAAGTTGTTAAATTAAGTTTTTAGTTATATTTAACAAACATACTCAAATAGCTATTGGAAATAAATTTCGAGCGGATATAAGTTTTAAGCTACCAGCTCCCAAATTAGCTTAATTATCAACTATTAATTAACTTATCAGCTATCAACCATTTTTTCATCAAATAGTCTTATTTTCCTGCCAAAAAACATTTTGTTATTAAGATATTTTTAAACATTAATTTATTACTTTTTTTTTAATTACTTTTTTGGGTCACTTTTTCTTTCCCATTAGTGGTGAGACATCAATTTTTATTTTAGGTGATTTGATATCAATAATTTCATTTTAAACTTCTAAAACTCTTCAATTAATTATTTAGTTTTTATTTAATTTTTTTAAGTGATGTGATATCAATAATTGTAATAAGGTATGAGTAGGGGTAGAGAGAAAATAACATTGTTGCGAGTACATTTACTGACAATATGTTAAACCTTTTTATTTTTCTAATAACAACCAAGAACTCTAAAATGATAACTATTTTATAACGGAGAAATACACACATAAACCATACATTAAACTATTGTGCATCATAAAAATAAAATAAAAGATGAAAAATAATATTAATATTCAAAATTATTTTTATACTAATTGATGACTCTTATCTACTTTAACTTATATGATTTACCATTATTACCCCGTGTACTGCACGGGTTACATGTTAGTCCAAAATTAATATCAATTAACTTATCATGTTTTTTCAGCTAGATTTTCTAAATATACCTAGAAATTGGAGAATACCTTTTGCCTTCCTACATGGACGGACCTTGGGAGGGGCCCCTAGGGGTACATGCCCCTGTAGAAATTAAAAAAAAAAAAATAGTGCATATATATTTATATTATAAAAAGGTATTTATGTTATATATTAAAAAAATTATTTATTTTCTCCAAATTTTGTATGTAATTAATTATTAATTAAATAAAAAGGTAGTTGTTCTAAGAATGAAAATATCACATTAATTCTTTTACAATTCCATCTTTAAGCAAATTTTTTATATCTACTCACATGTT